GGGTTCCGCGACTACCTTGTTACTTTAGAATTTTGTCTGCTTGTTTTCATTATCAATCTGCACGGATGAATGCTCCACCAGTTTTGACACTTCACTCCGATTTTTTTAGACTCTTTCCTCTTCTCCAGGTTTCGTCTGTGGCTGGGCGTCTCTTCGGCAGGATTGAAGCTGAAAGAATTCTATCTAGAATATAATTTATGACTATATATTTTAAGCGAACTACTTCATGAATTTTCTGCTGTTATGATGAAAGGTATCACCAACATTTTAGGTAATGACCTTTCATAATTGCATGTACTTTGATAATAAAATGATGAAGATTTCAACAACAGTGGCTTCATAACTGTTATATTTTACTGATAAATCAAGTCTTTATAAAAGAAAAAAAAACATGCCTTGCTTTTGATCTTGTATTGAATAGATAACAGTTTAGTTATACCTTGAGACAGCCACATGACTTACCCAGTACTCACTGAGAACCAACTTTGATACAGCAACATGGAAAACTTTGACATCATGTATACTGCTAGTTCACATTGTGAACCAATAACTTTGAGACAGTAACATGGAAAACTTTGACATCATGTATACTGCTAGTTCACATAGCGAACTAAAAACTTTGATACAGCAACATGGAAAACTTTGACATCATGTATGCTGCTAGTTTACATTGCGAACCAATAACTTTGAAACAGTAACATGGAAAACTCTGACATCATGTATACTGCTAGTTCACATTGCAAACCAATAACTTTGAGACAGTAACATGGAAAACTTTGACATCATGTATACTGCTTGTTCACATAGCGAACTAAAAACTTTGATACAGCAACATGGAAAACTTTGACGTCATGTATGCTGCTAGTTCACATTGCGAACCAATAACTTTGAGACAGTAACATGGAAAACTTTGACATCATGTATACTGCTAGTTCACATTGCAAACCAATAACTTTGATGCAGCAACATGGAAAACTTTGACATCATGTATACTGCTAGTTCACATTGCGAACCAATAACTTTAATACAGCAATTACCATGGAAAATTTTGACATATGTATACTGTAAGTTTACCCTTCAAACAATGACTTTGAGACATTAGCATGGAAAATTTTGACATTATGTTCTGCAGGTTTTCATGAAGTAATATATATCTTAAAGAAAGATATAATAATACTTGAGTGTTTCGAATAGACATCTTTCTAAATATCTTACTAGATATTTGACTCTTGTCCTATACATATGCATCTATTCATTTCCATGATTTATGCTCATATATCATGTATGTCATTATATCAAACTTCAAATTAATTTATACTGGCCTTAGCCTCCTGCAAGTGTTGACCACAGCATCTTTGATTGACCATTGACCATAGGTACTGGATTGGTACTGCATGCATGATTTTGTACGTAGGTGAACTCCCTCAGGCACTGTAGGTTAGTCCCAAAACCCCGGTGTTTCCAAAATGACACACACAGTGTATGGTAAGGATTCAGACCAAGAGTTTCTAAGCTGATTAATCTCAATAACAACATTGTTGCATCCCGGTGGTAAGTTGTGAGGGTCCCGTCGGAGAAGTTGCATAAAATTACATGTTTCACACTCGTACCATGAATCAGGAAGTAAAAGAAATATACCTTACAATCTTTGTGGGGGGGGGGGGGGGCGAAGGAAAGTTCGTTACCTCCGATTTGAAAAAGGCTAATGTCAGGGGCTGTGGAGAAAGTACATAGTGTTCACGATTTCGCCAAACCCTCAACGTTTAACCCACCTTGGCCACGGATCAACAGTGAGAATCTATTTATAATTTAGGTCAAAACAAACATTTTTTTTCACATCTTGTCTTTTATATACTTGTCCATCCTTCTAATGTACGAATGGCCGATTGGCACAATCCTTGTCATGTCCGCCATTTTGAAACACCCCGCATGTACCCAGGCTCCGATGGAGTCGAAAAACAGTCACAAAGCGAATCCGAAATATCATCACTTACATACTGTGCATAAAGTCGTATGTACTACTAATCCACTGATTATTAAGCATTGATCAAGATGAATAATCCGAAATCGTTATGTTTTTCTACAAAAAATGGTGTGTACAAACACTTGCAGCATCCACCAGCGATAACAATCACGTGATATATCCGACGTTAGCTCACAACTAATCAACGCAAAGCCCCAAAACCTGAGACTATGCATTACATAACGTCCTAGCTCTGAAACCTGATATGTACATGAAATATACTAAAATCACTACATTCTAACCACAGAAAATGGTAAATTACATATGTATGCATAAAACATATTATTGTCAATAATATTACAATTGGTCATAAATTGTTATCATATGATTACATAAGATAATAAAATTTATTACAATAAAAAGGTTCATGGGTCTTATAGATCACCTAAGTATCATCTTACATCTTTCCAACAATTAAATTTAATTCCATTTTAAACTAATGGCCATGGAATTTCGCAATTATGAGAGAACACCATTGCTCATTCAATCTATAATAATGACAAGCTTACTTTAATTACTTAATATCAAAGAGCAGAGAAGAGGAACAAAGAAATAATCCATTTCAACTAGAAAATAAGGACAATCCCACCCCACAGGAACCCATGAATGGTGCCACATATTCCACAATTTAAAAAAAAGGTAGCATTGATCCTCATAAATGTAAACTTAATACAAAAAAAGGAAAACATCATTAATATACTTCAGGTATATAATCCAAGAGTCTCCAATTCCCTGTACCTTAGATCACTGGTATACCAAGTACTTATTTTCACAAAATTAACGCATTTTCACTATATGATCCATAGAGCACTGCCGTAACACCAGAACCACTGACCTAGGGACCATAAAATTAACAGTGTAATTGTGTAAATCAGATTCCCATATAGATGTAACAATGTAATTACTCATGCTAAACTGTTATAAAAATATTTAAATCAAATTCGGATTTATAGCTTATATCAACAATATATATATAACATTTTACAATACCCATGTTTTCATTCAAAGTACAAGGTCAAAAGACGTAATGCATATAGCTTAACGTCCTTTAGACTCGCCGTTCAGAAAATTTTGATTATTTTTTTTCTAAATATCATATTAAACGTTTCGGAACAATAACTACTTAAATAGGTTTGACATATCTTTTCACACTAAAAAGATTGAACAGTCTGCTGAATTGGTTTAATTAAAACTGTTTCCGGTTTTGAAGGGAGTATTTTATTGCAAATGGGGTTATATTTATTTGAAATGCTGAAGTAGTCATATGCAGAGTTAACCTTAAAATCTTTTACAAAGTCCATTCCCAACGGATATTAATTCCTTTCGAAAACTTGTGAATATTATAATCATTCGTCAGAAAAATAATTAAAGACTAGAGGTACTGTGAGCAATGAGCTCACTAAATGATACCCCCCGCCTCCATATAGTAACATGTATAATCGCAAAGTCCATGTTTTGCTGTGGCCGGGAAACCCAAAATATGTGTCGGATCTAAAAGTAAAATAGCAGGTGCACAATGGCAATATGTAATAAAGATTCTGTGAAAGTTTCATCAAATTTCATTCAGTGGTATGAGAGGAGTTGCGGATAAGAGATAGGTACCCCAAAGCGTAACAGACGGACGGACGGACAGACGGAAGGACGGACGGACAGACAGACGGACGGACGGACAGACGTACAGACGGACGGAATTAACGATTACTATATACCCTCCCGCTTTTCAAGCGGGGGGTATAAAAACAAACAAAATAATATCAATAGGACTTTCCACAGAAAGGTAGACAGAACTAGTGAAGAATTCGTAGTCGGTAAGTTAAAAAGTCCTTCATTTAGTGTTTTGTTCAAGAAACTAGAGGTACTGTGAGCGATGAGCTCACTAAATGATACCCCCTGCCTCCATATACTTGTAGTTTAAATGGCAAAGTCCATGTTTTGCTGTGGCTGGAAAAACCAAAATATGCGTCGGATCAAAATGTAAAATAGGAGGCGCACAATGACAATATTTAATAAAGATTCTGTGAAAGTTTCATCAAATTTTATTCAGTGGTATGAGAGGAGTTGCGGATAAGAGATGGGTACCCCAAAGGGTAGCAGACGGACGGACGGACAGACGAACGGACGGACGGACGTACAGACGGACGGAATTAACGATTACTATATACCCTCCCGCTTTTCAAGCGGGGGGTATTATAAAGAGACATGTTTTTTTTTTTATATTTTTAATTGTCAAAAACAAACATAATTACATGTACATGTCTACATCAGATGCAAACCTTAGCAATAACTAAAAAAATGTTCCTTAACCAGTTAAATTTGCCTTCAATATAAGGAAATCTAAAATCACATATAATAGTAATCAGAACAGCCTTATATGTTTGCTGAAAAGAAAATATATTTGAAATACGAACTAGATTTAATGTTTCTATCTTCAAAAAAAAATTTACATTAGAACCACACTTAGATTTTTTTCTATGTAAAATTAAAATTTTCATTACGAGCAAGACTTGGTAGCACTGAGCAGGATGTCAATATTTATAAAAAATATCACCTGCAGTGTTGATTCTTTCACTTAAGGCAGATAAAGTCCTACAGAATTTATTTCTTTGAAATATTGCTTAGCAGCAAGTAAAATTCTACAATCTAAGATACTCAAATACAAGCTTAAGACTGTTGAAGCTGAAAATATAAAAAAAAAAGATACGTAGATAATGTACGGCATTCCTAAAATTATATAACAACTGGTCTAGGGATCACAAAGTGTTCTTGCATTGTTCCAAAGAGGTTAAATAGAAAAAGAAAACAATAGGCCGCAAAATGCTCTTTTTTACTGGAATAAAATCACAAAAATCATGAGCTTCGTTCTGACGTCGTCAGTGTTGCATATTTGTTTGAATCGTTTAATTGAGAGGAAAATGTTATTAAAGCGATTTTTTCATTGAAAATTTCAGACATTAGTTTAGAATTGTTGACCATGATGTATGGTAATATTAAATGTCATAGTCTTAGTAAAACAAAAGATTCTGAAAATGATTTTTTTTTTGGACCACTCTTGTATCTTTAGAAAATGCAGAATGTTTCTTTGACTTACATGTATATCAAACATAAGATAGTTATAGTATTAATCAATGAATTACCACCATGCCTAAGTTTGAGAACCTAAATAACCATATATTTTAAAACAGCTGTTATTTTTTTTATGTTTTTGTGTTTTATATAACTGAACGAAGTAAAATCAAGAGTTTTAAACCTTAAAAAATATTATGCACTAGCCGGAAAGATATATCACTGAGCCCGAGTTATTCTTTTTCCTGTGCATCTGTTAATTTAGTTACCTAGAATGTAAAAAAAAAATAGATATAAATTCATTTTGTTACGGAATAGGTGAAAAATAAATCATCAATCGTGTAAAGTTTTTGGTACTCAGCAGTATGAAGCAAAGTATTTTGCAACCAACTATAATGCAAAATGCCTACATCTTTCCCTAATCTCCTTTATTATAGTTTGAAATTTCTCCTCCATCTAAAAAAAAAATAATATCAAATTATTAATCCTTTAATTCTAAAAACATGCTACTTTTCAATTATAAATACAAATGGAGAAATACTTGTATATCTAAAGAAAATCCACAATGACAAACGTGCCACATTGATATCTTAATATAGACCCTAATTCAGCAAAAGATACTTACTACATTGATATACACTTGCTAGGTTTTTTTTCGGAATGTCTTGAAAAAAAGGCAATAAACGCATGCGTGGCCGAAGAGGGAATTATACTGATTTAAACTTGTTGAGAAGGATATGGAGATAACGAACAGTATTCAATCTCAAAGTCCATAAAACAATACAAAATGAGTGCAGATTAAACACAGACCCCCGAAACAACAGGGGTGGGATTAGGTGCCATGGAGCTCACAAACGAAAATACAACAATAAAATTCTGTCAGATATAGAAGGAATAATACAATTTGGATTGCCCTAGGTATTAGTATCGGTTTTATTTGTAATGTCTTGACTACAACAGAGGTGATGTGATGAAAACCTTAACTTAATATAACAGTGTTAGGTGCGACGTCACTGTGAAATTTGCTTGGAAACCTTTCTAAGTTACTCTATGATGACGAGTTACCCTTCATTGGTAAAATAAATTTAAAGATTTAATTTCTAAACGCAATAAAACTTCCGTTAGGCATACGTTGCAAGAAATCCTCTCTGACTATTGATAATTATAAAAAAAAGACAGTTCACTTGTCAGAAATTACCAGAATAGGATGATTTGATAAGAATATCCTTTCAAAGAAAAAAACATGATGACCAGAAAAAAAAACCCAATTTCTCTGTCTTAGGGAAGTCGTTTATCCAAGATGGATATAGCTGCACGGCCTTCTTTTATCATATTTAATATATTAAATGTCTAAATTAAAAGATATTTTAGGTATTTAATAATGATATTAATACATGTAATATAAAGATATTCAACCATTTTCTAGTTGTAACTTCGCAATTTTTCATAACAAATTGCTAACAAAGAACACATCTCTTCCCCATCTTGCTTCGCTGGTCTACAAAACAAACATTATTTGTAATCATCTCCCTCCCTACACTAAAACAACCAGTCCAATTAATTATTGAACGTTTGGAAAGCCTATAGTCTTGAAAAACCTTTCACAAATTATTTAAGAAATAAGGTATCAATTTAAAATATCTATCGGGATTTAAATGCGGGTTCGTCACGAGATCAAATTCCATAAAGTCCCGACGGGCTCTTTGATGAATTTGATCTCGTACAAACCCGTATATATAGCCTGACAGATGTTTTATAATTCTATCACTACTTTTATTTACATTTGTGACATTCAAACTTTATATTTTCCTGATTGTGACTTTTGACGTGTGAATTGCTTTATTTTGCAAACCCAATGGCATGTATGTAATCCACTTAAGACGCGTCAACGCTTTATGACGTCACTGAGAAATTACGTAGAACGTTTGTGACCTTACAGAAACCTGTATTTAAATGGTTGTAGATACGCATTACTTTCAGTAGTGTTATATAAAGGGAAACATTTGCAAATGTAAATATCATAAGATTCCAAGAGATAAGTTTAATTTTACAGCCTGTTGTTGCTCGAGTAAGATTGTGGCAACCATTTTTCCTGGCGAGTCGTCTACAGGGTGACGTCATTTTCACATTGTCACGTTACGTGAGAAAATAATTTTCATATGTTGTTTATAGAACATGTGCATGAACTTTGGTGTGTAAAATTTCATTCTGATCAAAATTGTGGTTTTGTAAATATAGTTCGAGAATGTTTTTATCCCCCCTCGTATGTTAAAACAGGTTGAAATTGGTCAAGCAGTTCTAGATTGCAACGCATGTGACCTAAAAATGAAATTATTCTCGATCTTTAAACATTCATGTAAAGCATCAAACAATATTGTGTGAGGTTCTCTTTTTATGTATAACTTCTGTATAAAATACTTGGAATATATAAGAGTCAGATCATGCATGGAGCTTACATGAAGTAAGGTAAAGAGGGGGTCCGGGTAAAAAGCAAACGGCGTGATCACTCTAATACACCCAAAGTGGACTCAAGCGAATACACAGAGATGCTTTGGTTAATTAAAATAGGCCCGATTTTTTTTTTTTTTTTTTTTTTGGATAGCGGAGCACATGTACAGTACCTTTCGATTATTTTCTATGATACATTGCTTCAATTCCTTTATTTCCTCTTCAGGAGTCTGGAAAATACAAAAAAAATACGAAGAGTTCATATGAAAAAGTTGACATCAAAGAAACATGATTTAAAACAATACCTGATAAAAATAATTTAAACGAATTGAAAAATATACAGTATGAAGAGAAATTTTAGCGAGACGAAAATTTTGCGATTTGTCAATGATAATTGGTATTATATTTTTAAGCGAGAAGTAATTTAAACGATTTGAAAAAAAAAAACACTTAAAAAGCCATTACAACTTAAAGGCAATTAAACTTTAGCGATATTCAATTTTAGCGATCTAAGCACCCTCGCTTATAATGCCAAAATTAAATACTCGCTTATAATTCTGCGTATACGGTATAATATAGATCACGATATGGACCCAAATCACCAAACACTTATACAAGTACAGAGAGAGAGAGAGAGAGAGAGAGAGAGAGAGAGAGAGAGAGAGGGAGAGAGGGAGAGATTCACCTTTAGTTTAAACCATTCTTCAAATCCGACATCCCTGAAAATGTTAAAATATTTTTTTTCAGTTTACATATATTTAAAATTAAATTACAAAGACATCATTGTTTTCTTAAATCAAACTGTAGAATATGAGAGAAGGGGACATTTACATGTTTTCTCCTAGCGCAGCAAGATCTTCCTTAATCTTTGTTTCCTTTAGTTCAACATCAAAATCTGTATCGTACCAAAAAACTGAAAAAACGAGAAAAAAACCCCAGATATACACTGTATATAATTTTGTAACCTCAACATTTTCAATATCTGCATAGGTATTAAAGAATATATAGTTAGCGTATTTTTTTTTTTTTTTTTTGGTTTTGTCTATTTTTTTCTAGTTTTTGATTAAGTTTTATTCAACAGAGTCTTTATCTTCGAAGTATTTACCTTTTTGCACAAAACACTCCTCGTCATTTCATTTTACAAAAATAAGCATAATTAATATATTTTTATTAACTATTTATTAAAATCTTTTGTTTTGTACCCCTGATAAACTTTGGATTCGTTTCCTTCTGTTTACAAGCTCCACGGCATTTCCAAAATAAAAAATGGAAAAGACAAGCAAGCATAGCTAGACCTTGCATGTGAAAAGGGAAAATCGACTGTAAACTATACTCTTCTAAAAAGCGATACTTAAGTCTGGACCAGTGGAATGTGGCTCGAGCATGTATTGCAGTAATTCTATTGCTAAAAAAAAAAACGAATATTTGTATCAAAATACATACTTTCTTCTGTAGATACATTGTATATTTCATAATTTTCAATGCACAAGGGAATACCAAATCGTAATGAATTTATTTACTTGTATGTAGCAATCAAAATGTTAAGCATCATTATCACAGCAACAAACGCATACAAAGCCTTAAAATAAGGCCCAAGTAAACGACCAATTGTCGAGGGGCATCGTTCTGCTTTTCCATTGATATAATCCTCTTTTGAAAATGAGCACTCGGGTTCTTTTACTATATTATTAAAAGAAAGAAAATATTTTCATTTAATTGCATACCCTTTACTTTTAGAAATGAAATATTGATTAATTAATATCTCTCTCCTTTAATTTATCTTATCTCGTTTACGTCTTGAATAAATTAGAAATTGTTTTAAAGATGATTTATATCATTGAAATGCTATAAGAAAGCACGTCTCTTACGGTTATCTCTCTCTAAGTCCAATTCTCCAAACAATATCCAATAGCCATTGAACATAACTGTTTTAACTGTGTCGTAGGAAAATTCTGCATTATTCGAATATAACATTGTGTAGTAGGTAACATTGTAGCACGTCATTATGACGGCCATGATTGCCATGAACCCTATTGTATCTTTAAGCTAAAAATAAAAAATGAATTTATTTTTTTGAAACAATCTTTGAATATATAGTTTTATACTGAATATTAATATAAAACTCCATTACATTTCCCTGTTTGTTATATAAATATAAAATGTATATATATTACTATTTTTACAGTCCCATAAACGTTCTACTTCCCCTCTTGAACCGCGATTGATCGGTAAAAGAACGCTGATAAAACGCAGAGCGAACGGTGAGTGAACAGCGAACGTTGAACACTGCGCGAACGCAGAATACGAATAAAGTGAAAATGTGAGCACAATATGAACGATGCGCGAGCGCTGAACGTGTGATAAATGATTTATTCGGAATTTCTAATTTTTCCATGCATGCAAATTATTCCATTGTTTTCTACTTCCAGGTGCTAAAAATAAATAAACAATTAATAAATTAATTAATAAATGAATAATATAATAAAGTATGTTTTACATTTTTTTTTAAAAAGACGATACAAACAAATTAAAATAAGAATAATTATTAATTTTTGCTTCTTGTATTTTAGGCACATATGTACATGTATGGTGTTTAAAATCACAGGCCTTAACATCGCTGAGAAAAAAAAAATGAGATGTAAAAAATAAAGGTATGGAACTCTTTCCATAGGGTACCTACTTTCGCCAAAAATCTTTAAATCAAATGCTTTACAATTTTACTTTTATTCATACATGTATCTATTCATTTACTTAATCTTCATTACTTCCAAAGCTCTTCCGTAATTCAATACACTTCTCGTGATATTCTGAAATCAAATCCGATATTGACCAAAATGTTTTTACTCGATATCAGCTGGGTCCTTTGATGAGTTACACTTATTGTTAAGCGGGAACGACGGGACAAATTTTCCCAGAATTTATTCCATATCCAATGCATATTTGCTCCTTTGCATTTGAGCTTTATAAGATTTTCTCTATTTTGATCATATGAGTCACAAACAACATTTTAACGGTCTAATTGTTTTTAAATAGAAAGGTTAATTATACACTCCGGGAAAAATTCGTTCAACCATAGCTTCTTTTACATTCATAGTCAACTTGGCGGTGTAGTTGTTGATGTAGACGTTTTCAAATTAATTTCTCACGAAAGGAATTATTACGGACTTAACCTTACAATCTAGAGTAAGAAATCAATTTTAAAATGTTGAATGAATTTGCAAATACTATGCAGCTCTTCGCTGCACTTCAAACACCGTCTGTTTATATGTGAATGACCGTGAACGACCAGGGGCCCAAGCTAATTTCGAGTAAAATAAGTCATTTTTTGGAATTGATTTCACAATATTTAGAGAGGTATATAGAATTTCGCAATAAACTTTGGTAGAAATTAACAGAAGTAACATCTCAGAGCAGTTGAGTTTCTTGGTACATGTATTTCCAAGGAGTTTCTAAATTATTTATCATTTCTTCAAATATGATTTCCACATTTCTAAAAAAAAAATAATAATAAGACATGGTTGCAATAAATACTTGGAACGATTAAGTTTTAAATTGAATTTGGAACATACTCCATGCCAATTTGAAATACCACCATCCGCACATTATATTTTGAACTACTGTTGTTTCATTACTATTATGTATTGATATATTATTATGTATTGATATACTATTATGTATTGATATACTATTATGTATTGATATATTTTTAGACTGATCTTTTGCAAAACAAAATAAATTCTTTTGATTTTTTTAAATGTAAATGCACTGAAAATTCTTACTTAGAATTTGATTGGAGGGAAGGGTGCAAGGGGAGGGGGAGGGATTTACTCTTCATCATGCCGAATGGCGAACATATAGAGTTATGGTGAAGAAAGGGTTTTTTTCTCCCTCTAATTATAAACTCTTTTAAAACCATGTGAGTTTAAAGCGTGTGTTGACCTCTATGTAAAAAAGAAGAAAAAATAATAATGTATTACATTTTAAATTTTTTTTAAACATTGTCTATTTAATTCTTTCTACATATATTTACATGTATTAAACTGAATATCTAACAAACTATTTGAATTTCTCAGAACTAGTCCTTACATGGTTTCGTGTATTATTTAAAAAATAGGTTTTATAAATGTATATTTCTTGATTTTTGCAGCAATTGGTAAATCAATTGATTTGGGTTATTGCTCATCAATTAAAGATTTGTCATCTTTTTCATAAGAGCAAAATGCTGCGGGCTTGAAATGAGTGCGTTTGTAAATTGAACTTCTTTAAATTAATATTACTCTTATGCTCTAAACACATATAGGTACCTAATGTGCTTCTTACGACATTTATTTTAAAGAGAAATTTAATCAATAATCTAAAAGCTTGGTTAAAATTTTGACAAAAATAAATATCATAGATATTTCTTCTGCCTTGAAATAATAATTCTTGGAAGGCGATATCTTAATTATCAAATTGAAAAGAAAAATGTTAATCTTTAAAAAGATAGGTTCTTTCACTTTGGAGTTCCGAATGACAATAATGGCTGAACGCAAGGTGAACGTAAAGTGAACAGAACGAAGATCGAACGCTGACCGCTTTGTAAATAACAAACAGAGCACTGTGAACGGTGAACCAAAGCTGTGAAAGGAGAGCGAATGGTGAATCCACGCTGTACGAACGCTTTGTGAACGGAAAAAAAATAATGTAGAACGTTTCAGAGACTGTAATGTATTGCTTCAAATTCATGCAATATATATGTACCATTCCTTTAATGGTGACAAGCTTTGGTCCAAGTATTTCTGAGATGCAGATAAGAGGAATTATCCGGATGCTTAAAATGTTGAAGGTTGTAATTAGAATCATTTTGAATGTCCAACCAGTTCCCTTTTCCATCTTCACCAGCATTCCAATGACGTAAAAGAGCAATGCTAACCAATCCCAAACATTCCAGAAGTCCATTATATATAAACGAAAGCATTTTCTGCGTATGGCTATACAAAGCTTAATTAAATAAAGAAAAAAAATATTTTTAAAAAATTTCGATAAAGCATGCAAACATAAATATCTGCATTAAAGGGAACAAAGCAAATGTAAAACTTAAAAATGATTTACCCTTACATACCTTCGTTTACTAATACACATTTAAATAAGAAAAATAATTTATTGCTACTCAGGAAATGCACCAACAAGATCAAGTATTTAATATAATAGTTTTATGATAATTTGTTTATCATTACGATCATTTACATTTCCAGATCCCGAACAAAGGTTGTACCATTTTTGCAGAAATGATAGTCTCAATGATCCAAGATTAGAAATGGAAAAGCTATATATACGAGGATTTTTCGAAAAGTTCGTGGACTACTGTAATATCTTTTTGATTTAACGCCATATGCTGACCAAATTTTATAGAAATATTTTAACCAGAAATCAAAATGAATTGTTCTAAAAAAATGTAAATCATCACGATTAATTCCAAACCTTTCTAGAATTTAAAACTGCAAAAATATTATCGCAGAGCAGGTCAAAGTTTAGTTATTCACAAACACCAGACGAAATAAATATTGCAATGTCTGTATTATATTTTCTGTAAAATGGAGAAAAAACAAGAAAGAATCCTAAACTTTCTTTGAAATTAAGAACTGATACATTGATTCATATTCCAAATTATCGCTGAATATTTTGATTTGTTGAGAAATCAATCTGGGAATTCCTCGAAGAAAACGACAAAAAAGATGACGTTGTTGAACGTTACAGAGCAGCAGATAGAGATGCAATTTTGTGTTTTACTTGGGAATAAACTCAAAAAAATTAAAGGAATAAAAAATTATGTCACAAATAAGTCGTACATGTGTTTATAATAGAACAGGTGGTATTTGAGTGACAAAAATTCTGTATCGGACGCGGACAATCCGTGAAGAAATGTTTTTCTGATAAAATTTGATCAAAAACTTCTAAAATTTGGAACATTATCATGGAAAATCATGGCGCTTTTGATCTTGTTAACGCACAACTAAGTGATAAAAAAATTAAAACTTTTACAAAGAAAAATATACAAAGAGAACAATTGTTAGAAAAATGAATTTCAAGTGCTCGAAAAGGGTTTTTGATAAGTGATTATTGAACTAAACTGTTGAAATGTATAGGGATCGTATTTTTAAGAAATTCTTGAAGCTCTGTTTTTGACGTCAAATTGCCGTTAATTATGCTCCGCGGGGTACAAGACATGTTGATTTTAAGATGAAGAAAATTTATTTCTATTGATTCGAATACAATAAAACTCCACACATCAACAAAACAAAATATTTTCACACAGGATATTTAGCTAATTATAATTTCTTGAAAGTGGTATAACAAAGATTGACATCATCCACGAACGTTTTGAACAACCATCGTGGAAATATGTTTTAACGAGCATCATTGCTGTTTTACTATACTCAACATCTTCTAGCAGCAAGCAACAGTTTTAAAGTCAATGTCTCTATATCACTTTAAACTTTATCTTATTTGTATGAGATTGAGTTTCAATCGGTACTGTATATGGCACAACGTTTGCGTTATTACATTTTCAAAAAAGAAATTATTTACTGTAAATGTATTATATTTAGCGTGTACAATATTTGGCGGAAAATGCGTTTTGAACATGTTAGAGTAGATTCGATTTAGCGCATTGCCCAATGTTCATATTTATTTGTATATGTGCAAGACGTTAAGCGTTGTACCTGAATTTGCAGTTTCACTCCTCCAAAAGTGCAAAAAAGAATATACTTAAGGAATGTTTTTTAAGTTTTGTGTGAGTTATTGGCGTGTGAATCACACAGACTTGTCACATAGGCATATTTCATGAAGCGCGCTAGCGCTTCATGAAAAAATATGCCTACGTGCAAGTCAGTGTGATTCACACACCAATAATTCAAACTAAACTTAAAAACATTCCTTATATTTACATTCTGCATGTTTGGAAGAAACTTAAATATACTCAATATTTGAATTTCTCGCTGTCCTATATTGCTGCATTTTTAATAACGTCGCTGCAGCCTCATTGCGACGTCACGTTAACGCACATGTCTCCGTGTATATTTCTACGCGTGAGTATACATAAAAATGAATCAATTCAAATCAATTTCACAGTTGGCTTAGTAGAAAAATACAGCGAATGTAAATATAGCCAAATGATATACGTTTTCAGTATTTTTTAAAAGTAGTACTCTCTGATTTTAATGCGCATCTGCAACAGCGCATCTGCAAAAGTTCTGCAAATGCGCTAAACGGTCAGTTGACAGGCTCCTTACACAGTACAGTTAAGGTGCGCAATGAAAATAAAGATAATTTTTGTGATTAAAAAATGTATTCGTAATTAGGATGCCGATTATTTAGTACATTATTTCTATTGGATAATTATAATTATGGTATATAAGTACAAATTGAGGACCATTAGATTTTATATTCAAGCTTGAAACGTGATGCGACGGTCACGTATTTTAGCAAACTTACTTGCAGTATTAAGGCCATCTATAAATTTCACTATTGCAATGATAAAACGAAGTTAAAATTCTAAGTTGAGTTTATATTTTTAGGTCACCTGAGTAAACTCAGGTGACCTATTGCTATCCGTTTTCGTCCGTCGTCGTCCGTCGTGTGTCGTGTGTTGTGTGTCGTGTGTCGTGTGTTAACATTTGAACATTTTCAGCTTCTTCTCTGCATCCACTGAACCAATTTCAACCAAATTTGGCACAAAGCATCTATGGGTGAAGGGGAACAAAAATTGTGAATTTCATGATCCCTGCCCCCTGGGGCCTGAGGGGTGGGGCCAAAACCACTAAAATTAATGCAATCTTTAAAAATCTTCTTCTTTACTCCTGGACATCAAGCAGTCAAACTATTTGCATGATTGTAATCAGCATTGAGTCCTCTACCAAAATTGTGAAATTCATGGCCCTGGGGTCAGGGGTTCTAGTGCTAGGGCGGGGCTAAATAAGTATATAGTGAAAATGCATTATTTCTTTGAAAATCTTCTTCTCTGCTCCTGGGTATTAAATAAACCAACTAAGTACATAGTTATGATGAGCAAGAGTGCCTCTACCAAAATTGTGAATTTTATGGCCCCAGGGTCAGGGGTTCTGGTGTTAGGGTGGGGCTCTATTGATTATATAGTAAAATATATGATTTCTTTGAAAATCTTCTTCTCTGCCCCTGGGTATTAAATAAACCAAGTAAGTAAATAGTTATGATGAGCAAGAGTGCCTCAACCAAAATTGTGAATTTTATGGCCCCAGGGTCAAGGGTTCTGGTGTTGGGGGGGGGCTCTATTGATTATATAGTGAAATTACATGAATTCTTTGAAAAACTTCTTCTCTGCTCCTAGGTATTAAATAAACTAACTAAGTGCATAGTTATGATGATCAAGAGTGCCTCTACAAAAATTGTGAATTTTATGGCCCCAGCATCAATGGTTCTGGTGGGGGGGGGACTTTATTGTTTATAAAGTGAAAATACATGAATTCTTTGAAAAACTTCTTCTCTGCTCCTAGGTATTAAATAAACTAACTAAGTTCATAGTTATGATAAGCAAGTGTTCTTCAACCAAGATTGTGAATTTTGTGGCCCCAGGGTCAAGGGTTCTGGTGTGTGTGTGGGGGAGGGCTCTATTGATTATATAGTGAAATTACATGAATTCTTTGAAAAACTTCTTCTCTGCTCCTAGGTATTATATAAACTAACTAAGTGCATAGTTATGATGAGCAAGCGTGCTTCAACCAAAATTGTGAATTTAATGGCCCTATCATCAAGGGTTCCGGTGTTAGGGGGGGGGGGGGCTCTATTGATTATATAGTGAAATTACATGAATCCTTTGAAAATCTTCTTCTCTGCTCCTAGGTATTAAATAAATTAACTAAGTGCATAATGATGATGAGCAAGAGTGCCTCAACCAAAATTGTGAATTTTTTGGCCCCAGGGTCAAGGGTTCTGGTGTGTGTGTGTGGGGGGGGGGGGCTCTATTGATCATATCGTGAAAATACATGAATTCTTTGAAAAAAATCTTCTCTGCTCCTAGGTATTAAATAAACTAACTAAGTGCATAGTTATGATGAGCAAGAGTGCCTCTACAAAAATTTTGAATTTTATGGTCCCAGCATCAATGGTTCTGGTGGGGGGGGGGATTGATTATTGATTATAAAGTGAAAATACATGAATTCTTTGAAAATCTTCTTCTCTGCTCCTAGGTATTAAATAAACTAAGTAAGTGCATAGTTATGATGAGCAAGAATGCCTCTTCTAAAATTATGAATTTCATTGCCCCAGGGTCTGGGGTTCTGGTGTTAGGGTGGGGCTCTATTGATTATATAGTGAAAATACATTAAATCTTTGAAAATTTTCTTCTCTGTCTCTGGGTATGAAGCATATGAACTACCTATATAGTTATGATGAGCAAGGGCCCTAAATCTTGCAGAATTGTGAATTTCAAGGCCCCAGGGTCAGGAATGGGGGGGGCTCTACTTATATACTGAAAATGAATTAATTGTTTGAAATCTAGTCCTTTGTATTTATAAAACATTTATTTACTTTTTGATAGGCAATTTTAAGGGTGCCTTTTAAAAATTTATGCAACCTAGGGTTAGGGGTTTATGTCAGAGTGTTAGGGGCACTACTGATTATTGATGAATATTACTGATTAGTTGGAGTGCATTTTTGTTCCCCTACCCTGCGTATGGGTATTCAGTAACCAAGCTAAGCAACTGCTAAGTTTATTGTTATGATGATCAATGGTGCCCTTTCAAAATTGTGAATGCCATATAGCATCTGGCTTAAAACATGAATTAAATTCAGTACACTGTAACTGGAAAGTTGTTGCATAATGCTCAGGTGACCTATAAGGCCCGTGGGCCTCTTGTTTTTTCAACGGGCATTCGTTATCTCGATATCTTTCAGGCAATAATAAGTAATTAACTTTATACGAATGATTGGACAAAAGTAAAAAGAACATCACCTGTTTTACTTCATTAATGGCATAACTCGACATACATATGATAAGGAAAACGTCTGCATTTGAAATTCCTTCTTCATGGTCGAACAAGAGCATATACCCAAAACCACAAAGAAGAACAAATAACCCAAACTGAAAAATTTGAAACAAATGCACAATTTTATGTATTTTTAAAAGAAGAATGTGTATCTGCATATATTTGTAAATTTCCTCTTCAAATGGGGAATTTCTGCATTGGACAGGGGCTAATATTTTTTACGAGATGATAAAATATGTGTAATTTTCTAAGTTTAGTAAAATCATGAACACTTCCGACCTGTTCAATCTTTTGGGTGTATTTGTTATGAGGATTTCTTGGAAAATGCAGGTGGATTCTTTGCTAGATAGCAAAAATAGCATTATTTATCATGTCATTTACAGCTAGTGAGTACATATAAATGTGAAAAATATATAGGAAATATTTCTTAAATAATCTCCTCTACAAAATAAATATCAATTACACATATTTGAATGTCATTCTAAAATGTTGATTTTTAGGGGGCTCTTATCATATATACTACTTTTATAAACTTCATTTCATCAGAAATGGGTGATTAATATCAAAGAACAGATTTCAAAGTATTACTTTATTTTCAGACTATGCCCCCCCCCCCTAAAAAAAATGGGCCCTGAAATTTACCATTTTGGAAGAGAAACCTTTCTTCATCATAAATACTGTAAATAATCACGATTGTTTTAATTACGCTATGTTCGCGATTTATCTTTTATCCATTTATCATTTAATCCATAGTGAATGCTTTTATTAGTTTTAAAAAACGTTTAAATGCTTATACGAATTAATTTCTTGCAGCGTGAAATAAAAACCTTCGCAAATGTTACTTTCTTAGATATCGTCATGCATTCATGCATTTTCACAATATAAATATTATAGAGCCCCGACCTATCACAAGAACCCCTGACCCAGGAGCCATGAAATTCACAAATTGGGAAGAAGCATCCCTCCTCATCATAACTATGTACATAGTTCATTGATTTTATATCCAAGAGTATAGGAGAAGATTTTTAAAGAATTTATGCAATTTCACTATATAATCAACAGACCCCGCCCTAACACCAGAACCCCTCAACCTGGGGCCATGACATTCACAATTTTGGAAGAGGCAGACTTATTTAATATAACCATGTACTTGGTTAGTTTATTTCATACCCAGGAGAAGATAAGAAGATTTTTTAAAGAATTAGTGTATTTTCACTATATAAACAATTAAAGAGCCCCGCCCTAACACCAGAACCCCTGACCCAGGTGCCATGAAATTTACAAATAGGGAAGATTTTAGCATCCTACCTTGTCATAATTATGTACATAGTTCGTTGGTTAAATATCCAAGCACAGAGGAGAATATTTTTAAAGAATTTATGCATTTTTACTACATTGTCAAGAGAGCCCCGCCCTAAAACCAGAACCCCTGACCCTGGGGCCATGAAATTCACAATTTTGGAAGAGGCAATCTTATTCAACATAACTATGTACTTGGTTAGCTTATTTAATGTCCAGGAGCAGAGAAAAAGATTTTCAAAGAAATAATGCATTTTCACTATACAGTCTATTTAGCCCCGCCTAGCACTAGCACCCCTGACCCTGGGGCCATTAATTTCACAATTTTTGTAGAGGACGCACCCTAACAAAAAAAACTATAGTAAACTATAGTTAACTAAAGTTTACTATAGTTAAAACTTTGGAACTTTGATTTACTATGGTGAAAACTTTGGAACTTTGATTTACTATAGTAATAACTTTGAAACTTTGATTTACTATGGCGAAAACTTTGTAAGTTTGATTTACTATGGTAAAAACTTTGAAAATTTGATTTACTATGGTGAAAACTTTGAAACTTTGATTTACTATGGCGAAAACTTTGGAACTTTGATTTACTATGGTAAAAACTTTGAAACTTTGATTTACTATGGTGAAAACTTTGGAACTTTGATTTACTATGGTGAAAACTTTGGAACTTTGATTTACTGTGGTAAAAACTTTGAAACTTTGATTTACTTTGGTGAAAACTTCGGAACTTTGATTTACTAAAGTGAATACTTTGGAACTTTAATTCACTATGATGAAAACTTTGGAACTTTGATAAGTTCTATAAAACCCGTGGAATTATGGTATTGCTTCTCATTCTGTACATTTTATGAAATGTCAAGAATAAGATTTATTGAAGCTTAAATGAACGTTAGAAAAACCCGACCCCTCCGCTAAAAGAACAAAGTACAAGAAATGAATTTTAATAAAAAAAAATGTACTAACACCGATAAGAAAGCAATATTTATCATAATTTATGGAGAAAAAATTATTATAAGATAAAAATTCCGCCATTTAGAATCAAAATATTTGCTTTATTAGCTTACGTCAACATGTTTTTTCTTCCGTTCAATGTAAATATTGCATGTATATTAAATACTTTGCATATTGTAATTGAGATGAACATCACACATCAGCCCAAACAAACCAAAATCATTACCCTAAAAACAGATAAATTATTTTAAAAATTAATAAAAAACATACAAAAACTTCAATACTTTAATTTACTATAGTAAGAACTTTGGAACTTTGATTTAGTATGGAAAAAAATTTGGAACTTTGAATAACTATGGTATAAACTTTGGAACTTTGATTTACTATGGCGAAAACTTTGGAACTTTGATTTACTTTGGCGAAAACTTTGGAACTTTGATCTACTATGGTGAAAACTTTGGAACTTTGATTTACTTTGGTGAAAACTTTGGAACTTTGATTTACTTTAGTAAAAACTTTGGAACTTTGATTTACTATGGTGAAAACTTTGGAACTTTGATTTACTATGGTAAAAACTTTAAAACTTTGATTTACTATGGTGAAAACTTTGGAACTTTGATTTACTATAGTAAACTATAGTTAACTATAGTTTACTATAGTATTTTTTTTGTTAGGGCAATGCTGATTACAATTATGCCAACAGTTTGACTGCTAGATGTCCAAGAGCATAGCAGAAGATTTTTAAAGATTGCACTAATTTTAGTGGTTTTGGCCCCACCCCTCAGGCTCAAGGGGGGCAGGGACCATAAATTCACAGTTTTTTTTGCCTTTTACCCACAAATGCTTTGAGCCAAAATTAGTTGAAGTTGCTTGAGCGGTTTCAGAGAAGAGGCTGAAAATGGTCAAATGTTAACGCACGGCGCACGATAGACGACGGATGACGCACGACGACAGACAACAACGGATAGACCTAAAAAGGGTTATTTTTCTAAGTAAAGTTCTTTTCTTTGTTTTAAAGTTATGCTCCACTATGTTATTGTTTGTTAACCATGCATGAATTGTCAAAATATAAAATTAGAAGATACACTTTATACTTTTGACCACACACAGAGTTATTTTGACCGAAGATCCAATATATACATATGAAAACTAAAACCGAAAATATAACTTGCTTCATTTGTAAGGAAAATATATATTCACCATCCTGTTGTAAAAGAAAAAAAAGATTGATTCCAGAATACCGACAAAAAGATACCGGACTTTTAAAAGTGTGAATAATATGAAAACGCTGTTGTCACTAAGTTGTCATGGAATACTTCAAACGTATGTGTACACATATGCTTATCACAAGTGCTTGTAGACCAGAGAACCTCCCCAACCCCACCTACAATATACATACCGGGTCCCAAGATATTCATATTTTTTTCTTTCATAAATTAATCGTTTAGTACATATTTACAATGTAGTTCATATGAAAAATCCCAAAATTACAAAATTATTTTAAAAAAAATCATGCTCGTAGTATTTTAAATCACCTTTAACTTTTTAACAGCAGGTATCAATTTGTTGTAAATTGTAAATGTTATTAATGAAAGAAAGCAAAAAAAAATCTTTCGACCTGGATTTATATATTCAAGGGATTGGAGGGCATAGGTCCTATGATGGCATGCTAATATGGAACTTGCTCTCATTTACCTTAAATTATGTCAAAAACACAATCCAATAACCTTCCAATTTTGCGCCCCCCCCCCACCCCTGAAAGTTGGAGATATTGATTTTGATCTGCCTGTTCGACTTGTAATTCTGATCGTCGGTTACACTTTTATTTCAAGCAATATCTCGAAAAGCTTTCGAACTTTTACAGTGAAGTAAAAGAAGAGCTTTGGATTTGGGATAAGTAGAGGGGGTTCCTGTCTACTTGCTCCCGTGAGAATTATATGAAGAATTTTAAGATACATGTTTGTAAGAAGTAGCTTTATCAACTGACAATTTAAGAACGGGTATCCTCCTGGATTTAAAATTAAGCTATAGATTTCTGATATGGCTATAATACCTGTGTATTTAAAGCCATATTAATTTTATTTTTCGCAGCATATAGTATTTTGAACGAGAATTTCTTTAAAGTTTTTGGGTTTTTGCAATTTAGTTTTAGACCATAACTCCTTATTATCACGACCGCCTTTCGTAAAGTCCCCCCCCCCCTTTCGATCCCTACTAGATCCGCACATACTATTATTTTTTTTTATTTCATGCCACAAAATGACATTTTAAAACGTTCCTTTCATTTCCCTTCTCGAACCCCTTTGCTCGTTTAAATGTCCATTGAAATGTATTGTAGCGTCACGGTAGCGGCTACGACAAGACATGGCTTTAAGGTTTCTTGTTGGGATTTTATCTATCGAAATCCCAATAAAACTGAAGAATTCAATAATGCAACTGTGAAAACAATAAACTACTATGACTGATCCCCATTTATGGTTACGTTCGTTCGTAAGATGTAAGTGTTTCTCTATTGGAAATGCAAAGATATTTTATTTCTTTTTAATCGTATAAAGATACCGGTGATAAATATAAATTCTGTAAAATAGTATTTACGTACCCTAGGAATCTAAGAGGAAAAAGAAATTAGGAAGACAAAGATATTGAATAAATCTAAATTGAAGAAAATGAAAACATAAATGTTTACCTAACGTTTCGTTGCAAATGGTTTAAAGACACTGCTCATAAATATTTTTTTTCTATTCTAATGGCAACCTTTGAGAAAATTTTAAATGCGGTTTAGCATTATAGTTATTATTATTTTTATGGGGCTTCCATATTATTGTAAAGCCGTCTGGAAGGACATCCAAGGACAAAGCTATGCGCAAATCACTCCTAGTAGAGAAATCTTACCAAAGTATTTAGAACCTTCATAAATGGGATGTTGTAAACTCTATAAAGCCTAAAAATAAAAAAAAACACTTTTATTCAATGTCATATTTTTTATCACTCAGAGTAAGAAAATCATTTCAACCCTTGTGTATCACGTAATTCAATAATCTGTAGATAAATCAAAGTTCTGAATAGCTACAAACACAATATTATAGACAGAGGGCCTAAAGATGACAATATGCGGTAATTGTTTGTTTGTTTGTTTGTTTTATTTGACTTCACATGCAAACATCGAACGCTGTGGAGGTGCAACATAAGAAGCAAAAATCAATGTTCAAGTTCAGATTTGTAAGTCCTCTTCCAATACTTTAAATTACTTGAACAATAATAAAAGGATTTTTAAATATAAATCGTATTGCAGTCAAGGCAATGAGTTAATAAAATGTAAATACAAGCATAAGTTTATTGTTTTTCACAGGCTTGGGGTCAATTACTTTGAAATGTAATTAATAATTTTCAAATACATTGATAACTTTTCAATTAGTTGCAATTACAATAACATTATTTTTTTTTCAAATGTAATGAATTAATTTCAATAGACGTAACAGAAAAAAAATCCTGAATCTGGCATTTAAACTTTTGTGAGATGAAAAACTATATATGAACTTCCTGTATTGACAAGATTCAATAACAATAAGTCGTGCTGACATAAATATATACTGTATTTGTGCTGGGAGTGATTGTGGTGATTGGATAGTAGGAGCATTCAATAATTGCTCGACTTCAACCGAAACTGACATCAGACCTTGCTGGATGGCTTTGTATTCTTTTGTGCTGAATTCTTTATAAAGATTTGTTTAAAAAATCTGAAAGAATAACCTCTCAAAGGTTTGTTTGAAATCTATACCACCTATTCAAAGATGTGCAATTTTGGTAGGAATACATATCAAAACTTAATACTGCTGTGTATCCTTAGTATGTGTTTGAAAAAAGCTAGGTTTTTTCTAGTTAAGGAAACTAAGATAAAAACAAATCCCAAAATGCATATTTGGTATTTTAATTTTTATCAACATAATATTCATTATGAAGTATCTTTAAATCAAGCGGAATACTGTATCAATGAGTATATATTTCTTTAGTTAAACGCTCAAGTCTAATGTTTTATTGTTTTAGAAAATCAAACATGAAATACTTACCATTGAAAACAACTACTGTCTAGGCAAATCAACATTGGTAACAAAAGAATCCAATGGAAAAGCATATATGGAACAAATTTCAGGATCTGTAAAAACAATGTATAAATAAAAAAAATATCCATCTATAGACAATTGTCTTGATCTGTTTACACCTATGTATGTAAATCGTAAGCTACATTTTTATAGTACAGAACATACACCCTGCAGATTTAGAGGGGGAAGAGGGACCGCCCCTCCCTCCCCCCATTTTGTGTCAAAAATACATATTATTTGATAATCAATGTTTTTGGAGTGGCTGTGTGCACCTTCCCTGATCTCAAACTAGACCCCACCCCCCTTTTCAATTTTTTTTGGATCCGCTACTGGTACATAACATAAAACTATAGCGAACCGGAAAAGCGAATCATGTTTGCTGTACATTTGCTTGGGGTCCTGTCTAGTTTTCTAGATTGGATCAGGCGTTCGCTTTTACTTAGGCGTAAAGCAGACACTCGTCTAATCTTACTGCATGGTTTGTGCCTATATCGATTACATCCCGGTGTCTTATTTTAAACTATACTTATCAAAATCAATATCTTGTATATTATATGTTTTTGTGGGGATTTGGATGTAGATTGATTATTACAGGATTGATTATCAGGTAGATTACAAATCTCAGCCATAGGCACCTGTTCTTGTTTCAATGGAATCTTCTCCTTGGAGAAGTCGTAGATTCGCTATTTAGAAAATTAGTGAAATAATTTTAAAACATTAAAAACTATAATATCCTGCAGTTTTATAAAATAAAAAAAAAGAATTACAATATGAAGTTTCTTCCAATCATGAATAAATAATTCTTATTGTGTAAAATAATTTTAAATTATACCTGTTAATAGAAATTAGAAATCAAAATTTACAATATTAAGTTTCTTCCAGAATTTAAGGTATAATTCATATAAACCATTTATACGAGACATTTCCATGAAAATTGTGAAAACTATTACATTAGAGTTAAAAAAAATAGAGAGGACATTTCTCTTGTTCATATTACGGGCATCAGGACCGATATCCCAGTTCATTCATTTACAATCCATCTCAGCTGCGCTAGAAGGCACGTTATTATTGATTGATCCAGAAAACAAATAATTTCAATTTTGGTACAGTTTGAATTTTTTTGTCCAGTGTTTTAAATGAATAAATATTAAAGAGACAATTTTGTTGGTAAATACATGTATATCTTTGTGTTGGGGGGGGGGGGGGTGGGTGGGTGGTGAACGGTTTTACGGAAAGTTGTCCAACAGTTTTCAGTGAGAATAAGTATAAAAGTCATGCACTCTTATAATCCTAGAAATAAAATATGTCATGTCCTGACTCGACAATTTTTAACCCCCTCCTAGAATCAAATTTCTCCTGAAAAATAATCTTTGTCTTGTATGATCTTTCGCGTTCTTAAAATTATAAGCTAAAACTCATATTAATTTGAACTTCAGACAATGTGTATTTGAGAGTTGAAATATAGTTGATTTTTGGATCATACATTCACTCTTTGCTTTGAAAACAGCTCAGATGGATTGAAAATAAATTTCAATCTGCAATTTCAATCCGATGTTTTCCAAACGTCCGCGTCGAATTGTACCCGCCCATTTCATTGTCTATCACTAAATGTTTTGATTGTAACAGATAGAAATGACGTAAGCTGTATATTTCCAATTTTGCCAGTTAATGTTCCGTGGTCTTAACTTCGCAACAAATAAGAAAGTCGAACATCCTTTCAATTTTTTTGGAATCCACAGTTGAATTTTTATCATAAATGCTAATGAAATCATATTCAGATATACTTTTTTTCAGTCTAAATCGCATTTATTATTTAAATAACCCATTTAAAAACAGTTGAAAAATTAAACATCTAACCATGATTACCAGAAAACTATTTTTTTTAAAAAAAAAAGGATAAATAACTGATTAAAAAATAATGATGAGCCAGTGAAAAAGTCGTTAAAATGAGACTAAAGTGTCTCCGAAAGATGACTAAAAATTCACGGAAATGGGACGGAAAGGTCACTAAAAGGCGCCTGAAAGTCGAAGGAAGGGCATTGAAAGATAACTGAAATATGTCCGCTAAATGGTACCTGAAAGGTACCTGATTGTTGACAGAAAGGTCAATAAAATGCACTTGCAATTCAAAGACTGAATTTCTCAGGAGACAAGAAAAAAATCATGAATAATGTATTATTAATTCACAAAATTTGAAAGCAACATTTTTTAAATGCATATAATTAAATAGAACTCAATAGATCTACTAACAGATAAAAAAATAGTAGAGTGTGAGCCTAAAACGTCATAATTACATCTCTTACAGTTTAAATTGCCCCTTCTTTTTTTTCATTTTTTGTACCTATTGTTAATGCAATATAACAAAACTCTTAATTATAATAACTCTAATTATTGCTCAGTTTACTTTTGCTTCAGAATTAAATGAGCGCATAACGCATTTCTGAGATATGTATGAAATGGTGTTTAACCTATATTTTTGAAATTCTTTATTTGATATCATTCAAGTATTAAACTGTTAATGTTAGCTCAATTAATAGAGCGTTCACTCCGTAATTGGAGAGTCGTGATTTCGAATCTCGCCTTTGACCGTCCTATGTCATAAAAAAGGAATAACAACTATTCCTTCCTCATGCGCTAGGCACTTTGAAGTGAAAGTTGCTGGCTTTTCAGGTAAGACCTTTAAAACCGAGACTCCGTGTCACGATAGGCTTTGGTACGATAAACATCCCTCATTAAATATGTAAATGTACATTTTTGATAATGTTCCCGTGAAATTAATAATGTCCTCTAGGTGTTTTTTTTTCACTGAAATGAGATATAGAGAGAACTATCAATTCAAGTCGAGAAGTAACATTTAATTTTTACTCAATAATACTTCATCTTCGAGTATAAGTCACCTGGAAGCGAAAATTCTTTCTCAAACCACAAAAATGGCTCAACGAAAATATGTGGTGTTGTACAAATGCTTTTTATGAAAGCTGAATTTACATATTTTACCTCGCATATAGTGAGAAGATCTTTGCTTTTGCCATACCACATTTTGTTCAAAATATCTTGAATAACTTCGTTTTCTACAAACATGGTATTCCCTGTTTCCATTGCATCAGAGAGGCATTTGTGATTTAATAGGATTCTCCCAGAATGAAGGACGTTTTCTTTGGAATGTTTTTCTTCAGGGGCATGCCGACTGTCATTATCATAGATACAGCTAATAATTCGAACTGCATCCTCTGTGATTGTCCTTCAACAGATTTTAAATAAATATAATCTTAGAAAACAAATACCTCCAAATGTGAGAACAATCAGAGAAGGCAACTTTGAAAACGTTTTAATATAGTTTTAATGAAATAATGAAAATTAAAAAGATATGCGGGTAGAATTAGTTTTATTTGCTCACAAAAATAATCATTTTCAAACGTTTTAAATACCGTATAAGTGGAAATTTTAGCGAGACGCAATGGATCACTTCATTATAAATGGGGATCGGACCAATATGGCCGGGTTTGGTTTCTTGTATACAAAAATCTGGTCGGTTTCCCTTCCATTTAATGACATTAGGTTGAAAACATATTACATTTTTTTTTCTAGATCTTTTTTCAGTGAAGAAAGTTAGGAGGAACACTTTCATCGATTTTCTGAGTTTGTTATTTCCAAATGTAATAATTGATATTTGCCTTTACTTATTTTTGTGCATGAAGGTACTGTCTACTGTCTCTGAAATTCTATTCTGTATGCAATTCATCCGTGGATATAATAAAACATGTCATTAATGTGTGCAAATCATAAAGGCTTAAATGGAATCAAAGGGAGTACAGTTACTAAAATATGTATCCAATATCAATTTGATTAAATTCTGAGGAATATATACAATTGTAATTCATTAATAATGCAGCTCAATACAGCCAAGAATTCATTAATTAGGTTTTTTGCAAAGAACGAGTGCAGTTATGGGCCCCGGTAAAATGTTAAAAAAAAAAATTGACAATCAAATTAAGCAAACTTTTTCATCCAAAATCATTAATTGATATATAAACCGTACGATTCAACATATTCTACCACTTTATTTCACGAATATATAAAGAACAAAACCCCGTAGGGATCCGGGTTAGAATAGGTTAGAATAGGTCCTCAGTACCCCCTTGCTTGTCGTAAAAGGCGACTAAATGGGGCAGTCCTTCGGATGAGACCGTATAAACCGAGGCTTCGTGTCACAGCCGGTGTTGCACTATAAAGATCCCTCCCTGCTCAATGGCCCTGAGTGCCGAGCATAGGCCTAAATTTGCAGCCCTTCACCGGCAATGGTGACGTCTGTCTCCATATCAGTGAAATATTTTGGAGAGGGACGTTAAACAGCATACAAACAATCAATTATAAAGAACAAAACCACAGGTTGTGGCAGGGGTCAGCCGACATTTGTGATTTTCTATAGTAAATCGAGAATGGACATTCATTTCAAAGCTTTTATTAACTATGAGCCTAACTTTTTACAAAATTTTGCGAATGATAAAAGACGCATAATACATTTATAAAGCTTGTGTGAAAGTGGTAAAGTTGTACACGATTAGGCTGGTACTTAAAATATTTAAAATGTACAAAAAGTACGATGTCTTTCCTATAGCAAGTTAGAGTTATTTACCTGTATGCCCCATGTTGACCCCACGTGTTGAATAAATTATTTAAAATACCAATAGTCACGTGAGTTCTACCCAGGTACACATTCCTCGTAAAACACCGGCAGTCTAAGTCGTGTCATACAAAAATATTTGTATGTATTTGTTTTTAAGAACACGGGAGGATAAAGAGAGTTTAGTGTCATTTAAATGAAAAAGTGTCAAACATTTTACCATTCATTACCAAGACAGTGAAACAGGTATTGAAAGCCACCGAAACACTCCTTTTTATTTCAAATTCAATGAAACTATTATTATTTTTTTAAATGCAAGAATACCAATTTCTTAGTCTGATCCTTATGGCTACAGGAAACTGCACAAATTCATTAAATGTTTTAAAATAGATTTTTCGCAAAAAATAGCATTCCACAAACGCGCCCGACTATGATCCACCGTCAGATTGTTCAAGTTTAGATTTAAATAACTATTCCCCTCGATTTACATAAACAAAGCTCAAAGAAGGTACGGTACGACTTTTCCGGATTAAGGGTATCCATGGGCATTTAAAAATATTCAATTGTTTGAAATCCATGCTGATTTAGGTGATGCTTAACGTGCTTCTTAATTAGAAATGTCCACTTGTATCTTACGGTTACCACAAGAGAACGATTAAGTTATGTATTCTAAAGTAAAATGGCACATAAAAGGGGCCCATTAAGCATTGCTGAAGTGCACTTGTTCTTTCGAACCTAGGGCAGGGATGCCCCTAAAAAATTCTTATCTTAAATTATTCCTTACATCCTTACCTATCAGAATTCATGCAAACAAACAAATATAAAGATTAATTTTTATTTTTTTTTCCCCGGGAAATTGTTTTCTCCTATAAGTCATTTCAAAAGTGAATACATCCTTTAGCGATTTGTTTGTAAAATATGGTATTTTATTTTTAGCGAGAAGTAATTTTAGCGATTCTAAAATGCCAACTAATACAGGTAGTGCAAATTAAAGACAGTTTATTTTTTAGCAATGTTACATTCTAGTGATCTCAGAAACTTCGCTAATAATGCCAAAATTAAAGTTTCGCTAAAATTCTACTTAAACAGTATATATAGAATAGGATTGACAGTAAGGTTTGGATGTTAAAGAAGTCTCGATAGTTTACAATAAATGCAATTGATAAACTAATTTCATTACTTGTAGATTCGCTGCAGGTAATCCTTTTCGATCTGTCCAGTCTGCCATTTTTTCTGTTTTTGTTTTATAATAAAAGCACCAACCAATATATGTGGAATGGAAACCTGAGAAAAAATATCATTAAATGACTACTCAATTATTTTTTTAACAGAAATATATTCATTTACGTATCTTGTCTTTTAATTCAAAGATTTAAGGATTGAGAATTTAGTTTTAAAATGATTTTTGTTATCAAGGCCAACAAATTATAAATTTTATTCTGTTTTAAAAACAGCATGTATGAAGGTTGTTTGATAATTTTTTGTACATTTTCTTTTACGGCAAATATCTTGTGTGTTGTGAAACATGACTTATTTCTTACTAAATTCCAATCTTAGGTTTATTTGTATGGAAAAAAAGTAGGTCTTTTTACTAAAATTATGAAAACGTTTATCTTAACTATGCGTTCATAGGATTTACAAAGCAATCACTTAACAAAAAATAACATGTCAATCATTTTTCAAACTCGTTGAGCTTTTTCATAGTTTTAAATACATCTATATTTTATTTGTTTCGAATTCTACCGTAATTTTCCTACTAAAAAATATTTTTTTAAAAAAAGAAGATATTTTTCACATCATGTTCTTTTTCTTCAAAATATCTTTTGTGCTGTTCTGGTTTTAGTAAGGTCTAAGGATAAATGTCCAAGCATTTGATTACTTTTGTCCAGCTTCTAGAAGCATTTTAATTTTTTAAAGACCCTTTTATGTCTTTGCACATAATTCTTAGTAGCTCGATACTCTATGAAGTTCAAAATGACGTTCTCATTCTTGGATTTGTTTTTACGCATTCATCATTGATGGATGGCTATTAAACAGTCATATACCCCCAAAATACCCCCCAATTCAACTGATAATTTTGGCAAGTGACGTTTCATAAATACTGTTGCAACAGGTTAAATGGAATATTTCTTTTTGTGCTGCAGATTTACCTTTTTTTTTATTTTGATAAAAATTATTGTAATGTAAACATAATAAAAAAGTGGCATGCTCCGTTACGCTTGTTTTATTATTATAGCTGTATAATTCTAAGGATCACGAAAAACACCAAAATCTTTGTATATTAATTAGGAATACAGGCAGAGTTTTTGTATGATGAATTTAACTGGTTTTATGGAAATAATGCGTGTAAAAAAGAACTTGTTTGCGTGTCAAAAATATGATTAAGATATAATGTTCAATTTCTACAGTTTCGATTCAACTTTTTTACATTGCAATAGAGAAACTTACGAAGCCTGTTCTTATCCACTGTCTGGCTCCATTGTAATGTTTGTGTATGAGCAAAGCATAAAATATCAGACGATATTCATTTTCCGGTACATCTGCATAAAGACATTCTTTGATGTCTAAAAAGAAGAAAAGGTATTCCAATGAGGAAATTATTGAATACGTTTGGACTCTTTTTAGGGTATATGTAAAGAAAGAAACGAAATAGAAACGAAACAAAATGAAATCTACCGAAACGAAAACAAGACTGAAACGAAAAAAAAATCAAGACGAAACGAAACGAAACCACCCGAAACGAAACCGAACATAAAGAATGTTTTTCAAATCAAGATATATACATATAGTTTTATATAAACTGCATATGGTCTACTTTTACTCTATTTTAAATTTGTGCAGATTTAGTACAGACACTTGTTTCGTATACGGGGAACTTCTTATTTTTTACCAAAAGGTATCTGACACAATTTCAGGCAGCCACATTTTAAGCTCATATTTTGTTAATATATTAATCATTGAACTACTTAAATTGGCATCCTTCGCCTCTAGAGACATTGTTCTTGTCAATTGAAACATTTAGACGTCTTTAGTCGAGCCTATTAATTTGTAAACCACTCATTTATTCTTGGTAAATTACCTCGATACAAAATATCGTATATATGGATTTATACACAGGTTTCCTGTTGGGGTTAAAAGTGAACGAAAAAAACCAGAGACCTCTGGATGGAATACTCGGAAGTCTGTGGTTTTATCCTACGAGGGCAGTTCAATGAATAATGTCCTTAACTGTATGATATACAATACAGATATAATATGACATTAAGCTGGACTTTTTCGCATTTTTAAATCTTGAATGAATATATAACTAATATAATATAATTTATGTGACTACAGTACTTTTCATCACATAGTTTCATTGTGAGATTCTGGAAAAGAAGAGTTATTTGAGACGGTGCATTAAAAAGAATTTGTAAAGAATCAGTACACTAAAGTGGAATTAATTTCTTAAATGTCAGTGGCTTTGTTGTTCAAATTCGTATTCGGGGAGAGAGTTTAATTTCTTGAAGAGTCTAGAAAGCAATTTTCTTTGCAAAAACTCGAGGTTAATGAGAGGAAGGAACCAGAATCAGGAATCTACTACATTAAATTTCTTCATGACAGCGTCCAAACCCACACACCCTGACAAGTGAATGAGTTTTTGGGATAAACAGGAAGTTAAATATTTTGACAGTAACAATATTTTCCAGATCTTTTGCCTTTTGACGGGGTTTATTTCCGAAACTTGAACAAAAAAAAACTTTCAGAAAGAAGAAACGAGTCCAGAAAATGAGAAGATCTGCAATTTTCCAGTATACTAAGGGTCATTCCCAGAAATGAGATAAAAAGAATTACGATCAGGTGTTTTTATGAAAAGAGAATACTAAGTTATATCATTTAGACTAAATCATTGAAAAGCGTCGTTTGCTTCTTTCCGAGCACCAAGGACATTATTTATTAAACAGCCCTCATATGTTTACAGACATTCGCAATACAACAATACATTGCCTTTATTTCTACACATACATAAACAAGCTTTTCCATGTAAAACATCAAATTTGAAAGATAATATCTTAATATATTTATATGAATAAGGGTTGAAAATACTGTAAACGTATTATATTTGGCTGTGTGTTCGCTTTAGCGCCTTTGGTGGATAGTTTTCGCTAATTCAAAAGTACCACGCTAAATGTCTTGCACATTAACTTATAAATAAGTACATTAAAGAATGCGCTAAATCAATTTACGCCAAACATCGTTAACGCCAAATAAATTACATTTACAGTATAAATAGAACATAAAAATTAAAAGAATCTCTACACATATTTAAATTATACAATCATGCATATTATGCTTTCGCATATTTTCAGCTGGCAGAAGTTAATACTTCATACATCACTAGAAAAGGGAGCATAATGTATCGGTGTTTTATATTAACAAGTGCTTGAACTTTATAAATTTTATATGAATTAGAAAAAGATCACATGCAGTAACATATATTTCATTGTATACCTTTGTTTGAAAAAATTAATATATCTAAATAGTTTTATTTCTGTGGGTTTCATTTTGATTTCGTTTTGTTTCGGTAGATTTCTTTTCGTTTTGTTTCCATTTCGTTTCGCACTTTACAGGTACCCTTTCCATCCCACCCAACCCTTGTGAAACAAAAATTCCTTTTAACAGGCGATATAGACTGTTTTTATACAAATCCATATCAAAGCTTTTAGTGTTTCATAGGGGGTGGGCATTTGTTTATAGACAAAGAAACACAAAAACGCTCTTTTTTTATATATTTTTTTTAATATTTTTGTTTATCTATTTTTTTTTTACAAATTTCGAATGGCTTTACAACTGAAATACAAGGGGTGATCAAAAAGTTTGCGAACTAATTGGATAACTTCCAACAAACAAATGATATAAGATACAGTGTTATGTTGTTTCAAAGTAGTCCTCTCCAATTTTAATGCGCATCTGCAACCATCCTGTTCATGCACGGATCATGTTCTTTAGTGTTCTGTCACAGAAGCTTAATTTTTTTTTTCCGACTTTTATATTTCTTACCATGCAAATTATTTTTTGCAACAAAAACAGTACATTTGTCAAAAATGGCCTAATCTCGAGAACAGTATATGTAGATAATGATATCCTTTTGCAGAATGAGCATGGTGACCATGAAAACCCAAGTCCTCTGTCTATTGATCATCGTTTATTTCATGGGAATAAAGTATGGGTACTTTCTCTTTATCATATCTGATACGTTTAAAGTCTAAAGTAGACGACATTTTAGGGATTTGATAATTGAATTATTGTAAAGATTTAGTTTTGTAACTACACGTTGGCGATCTTTCATATTAAATTGCTTAACAAAGGACACGTCTCTCTCAAAGTTTGCTTTCACTGGGCAACAGAAAAACGTATTTTCTAAACATCTCCTTTCCTTCACTTAAACAATTAATACAATTAAAGACAACACGTCTGGCAATTATTTTGTCTTCATAGACCGTGTACAAATTAGTATAAATTATACGAAGGAATTTCCAAGATATACGTTTTACTTTACAGTCGTTTGTTTCTCAAATAGGACTAAGTCATCTATTTTTTGTCACAAGTGATCTACCTTATGACGTCATTTTTACATTATGACGTCACAAACACGGAGTAAAACGCTCTATTACAATTGCTATTTATCGAACATGTGTATGACTCTATGTGTGCCAAATTTCATTCTGATCTGAATTGTGGTTTTGTAAATATAGAAATAGTTCGCGAACTTTTTGATCACCCCTCGTAGTGTATTGTATTAATTACATATGTTTAATACATTATATGCATAAAAATGCTAAAAGATTAAAGGCCCTTTAGTCCATATCCAAAAATATTTAAAATATGATGATTCTTTCAAGCCTGATTTCAATGTAAAACACCCCCTTCCCATTATTTATCTCAGAAAAGTGTAACGCAAACAAATGGTAACTTGAAATTAATTTTATTAAAGTGTGGCGATATTATGGGCACGGCTGTTATTTAGTTTCAAATGCAAAACAAACAATATCATATGGGCAATGGGCAGCCAAGACAAGAGCATGCCCCAATCAAATGCACAAACAACATTCAACATCAAAGCAAATCATATATCAAGGTCATTACCAAAGGTCAAAGTTCATATAGTGGTAAGTCAAAGTTCATACAACATCAAAAGTTCAAAGTTCACAACATCAAAGTTCAAAGTTCACCATATATATATATAGAAAGCATTGACCCTGGGAGGTGCAGAGGTCAAAGCTTGCAATATAATTACCAAAATGCCGCTTATACGCCAGAGGTGTTATTTACGATATATTTATTACGAATTACATGCCGCTTATGTGCCTTCTTTACTTGTCGTTTATATATCAGTCACTGTTTAGGAAACATTGGACCTGGGAGGAGCAGTGGCCATGGTTTGCGAAAAGTTCATCTAAGTTGGTCTCCAGGTAGACTTTTTCTTGTAACAGCCGTACCATTTGATATTAAGTGATCCTTTTGTAGGACAGCTGCAATAGAAAGAAAAACACAGCGCAAAAATCTATTCGCATAAGGGTTGGGTGAGGAGGGTATTTTTCTAAATATCTAAATTTGCAAAAAATTATCCTTTAAAATTGCACCAACCTCATTCATATAGTCTGTGAATGAAAAAGGATTAACGGAAGTTGACTCAGGGGGAATAACTCTAATTGATTATAGGGATTATAGGCGGATCTATGGATTTTGTAATATGGGAAATTAACACTTTCTTCGATAAAAGCCTCCAATTCGAATAGAATTGGATGTGATATTATCTCAGAAAAGTGTAACGCAAACAAATGGTAACTTGAAATTAATTTTATTAAAGTGTGGCGATATTATGGGCACGGCTGTTATTTAGTTTCAAATGCAAAACAAACAATATCATATGGGCAATGGGCAGCCAAGACAAGAGCATGCCCCAATCAAATGCACAAACAACATTCAACATCAAAGTAAATCGTATATCAAGGTCATTACCAAAGGTCAAAGTTCATATAGTGGTAAGTCAAAGTTCATACAACATCAAAAGTTCAAAGTTCACAACATCAAAGTTCAAAGTTCACCATATATATATATAGAAAGCATTGACCCTGGGAGGTGCAGAGGTCAAAGCTTACAATATAATTATCAAAATGCCGCTTATACGCCACAAGTTCCCTGAGATGAGGATCAGAATGAAACTCATCCAGGGAACTCCGCCACCATGGTGGGGGTAGAGCGGCATATACGAACAGCCGTAACCAGGACCCTTGCTAATTGGGAAAGCAGGATTGACCATGGGCAACGATAGCCTCAAGTCCCCCCTGGAGAGAGTTTAGAAAAATATTATTCCCCAACGAGGATAAGTGTACCCCATCCTGTAAAAATAAAGCTGGATCAGGTTTAATTTCTAAATGGCGAATTATTGCGCCCCCAGATTGCAAGACAATTGCAGCTATACCAGAATTAACCCGTTTGCGTGCATTTTCCATAGCTTTTAAATTTGCTGAATAGCGCCATTGGAGACGCGGAAGTATAAATGACCATATAATCCTACTGTTTGGAAAGTGATTCCTTAGAAATAAAACCAACTGCTTTGCAACCACCCTTATTTTTCTGATCGATACATTGCCCAAGTCATTCCCCCCACAATGTATAAGGATGAAATTAGGTACAGGGCCCACCTTTCCAAGAGTTCTAATCTTTTGTTTAGTTTTACTTAACTGGAGGCCACTATAACCCTGCCACCACAGTGAGATGTGTTTTCTTTCTAATGTCAAATTTGTACCACCTGGTCTTAATACAGCTTCCAAAAAGGCGTGCTTGATTATTAATGAACCCACCAACCATATTGTCTGTATATCTAAAATTAGATTAAAACTTTGGTATGCGAATGTAGGATTTGTAAGAATCAGATTTCCAACGACCAGATCTCTGAATGTCATGAGTTGAAAATCCTTTTAACGCGAGATCAGTACTCGCGCCGATACGAAAAGAGTGAGATTTGTATCCTGAGATACCAGGCAAATTTAGGTGCTTTACTGCCTTACAAAGTACCCCCGTAAATTGATATCGTGTGAGTGGGGATAAATCGAAGTGTCGAAATAATGGACCTGAACCCTCTGGACGGATGTTGACGTATTTAGTAATGAGCTGATATGGACATGCTACACCACCCTGCTTATCTATTTGAAGTACTGTGCCTTTACCTAACTGGTCCGTTTTCGAATACCGGATAGTCAGTAAGAGAGATTGCGTTTCGTGATTAATGGACAAATTGTCGAATTGAATTGTGTTTTGTTGATCACCTTCTCTTGTATTAACTGTTAATTCGCCAACTCTTAAAAATCCATGAAATGCCAGGGAAAATGCAGCCGAGAAAAGAGCTGTTTCAAAAGCATTGGTACATATTATGGGCAGAACTTGAATAATATTTAGCAAAATTGTTTTCGTTATTGGCAGTCTAGTATCTACTTTATGTCTCAAACGTTTCATGCCCTGCAATAACTTTGTAACCAAGAACTCTGGGGTTGGATCGTGAACACTCTGCAATTTACAATAAAATGAAATGGCAGACAAGTATGACCTCACTGTACCATATGCGAGGCCGGATGATGATGAATGCAAAACGAATTGCACGACTGAGTTTAATGTAGGGGGCCATGGCGTGCAATCAATGAGTCTACATACTTTGTAATATGCTGCCATTCCAGCCCGATGAGATTTATGTGTGTTTTCAGATACTGAGGCGTCTAAAAATTTAGCAAACTCAGGCTGGAGATGATGTTGCGGAAAGATAGGGGCACTGGGCAAGGGTGTTCCCTGGCATGTGGAGCTGCTTGTCGGAATCTGGCCCACTGCTTACGAGAAATTGAATCAGCAACTACATTGTCTTTACTTGGTATGTAAACTGCACGAAACAGAATATTATAATTCATAGAAGCAAGGACAAATGGTCTAAGTAGTTTCATGACCCGCTCTGATTTAGAAGTGAGTTTATTTATTATAGCGACTACAGCTTGATTGTCTATATGGAGAATGATCTTTTTATTAGCGAGTTTGTTACCCCATAAATAGACGGCCAAGACCACCGGAACTAACTCTAAAAAGGTCATGTCTTTAAGTAGGTCATTGGACGCCCAGGTCTCTGGCCAAGGGTAAAAACACCATTCCCCTTTGAAATAAGCACCACATCCCAAGTAAGACGAACCGGAACTATCTGTGTAAAAATTAATGTTGTTGTCTGACGTCCACTCAATATCTAAAAAATACACAGTCCCATTAAATGATTCAAGAAAATTAATCCACATGTACAAGTCCTGTCGCATTGATTGAGTTATCCTTATGTGATAATGTAATTCTGAAACTCCTATTGTAGCATTATAAAGCCGACCCAGAAATGCCCTACCTGGTCTTATGGCTCTTGTAAAGAAATTCAGTTTACCTAAAACAGATTGTAATTGTTGGAGTGTCATCTTGCGTTGAACAACGAGATGGTGTAAAATACCCTGTAGCTCTAAGCATTTTGAATTGGGGATCTTAACTAGCATATGATAAGTATCTATCTCAAAACCTAAAAATGTCATAACCATAGTAGGGCCTTCAGATTTGTCCTCGGCAATAGGAACACCTATATCATCGCAGACGTCTTGAAAATTCGACATAAGATCTTGACAGGAATAGGCATCCCTCCCAGCAAATATAAAATCATCTAGATAATGATCCATTGTTGATGTTTTAGAGCGCTGTATCGTAGCCCACTGCAAAATTGTAGAAAAATCCTCGAAAACCTTACACGAAATGGAGCACCCCATAGGTAAACATTTGTCTATGAAATAATTATCCTGAAATTTAAAACCCAGGAGATCAAAATCGCCGGGAAATATTGGAAGAAGTCGAAATGCGAATTTTATATCTCGCTTACCTATGAAAGCCCTATTCCCTAATTTAGCAATCATCTGAATCACTGAATCAAAGGATGAATATTGTACAGCAGTTTCACAAGGATCTATGTATGAATTTACACTACTAAACTTCGGGAAAGAGAGGTGCGTTATTAGACGCCAGCCCAAATTATCCCCCTTCGGCACTAGCCCAATTGGAGATAACCTAAGATTAGAAATTGGTATTTTCGTGAAAGGACCCTGTATCCTCCCCATTTCAATTTCTTTATCGATTTTCTCTTTAAGTTCATTAGGATGATCGTCCGCGGATTTCAAATTATTACATTAAATTGGTAATCTAGGCCCATGATAATGAAGTTTAAACCCTTGAGAGAACCCTTGGATTAGGCGATTTGCTATGATTCTGTTAGGATAGTGGACGAGACATTTTTTAAGGGCATGTACATTAATAGGCGTTGAACCTAGACGCCATAGATTGCGGGGTGCGGAATCTTGGTCTTGAGTAGGTGGGGCGCTGGGTGTTGCTGCTGGAATACCCCCTATAATTGGTATTTGCATTGGTTGAATACCCCTTATAGTTGGTATTTGCATTGGTGGTTTGTGGACGAAAACTTGACTGTCCATAGAATTGACCACTTGAATTTTGTTGGCGAAATATTTGTGCGGACCCAGTGTTTGAGGCTTGTGTAAGGCAATGTATCTGTGGATGGTTACTACCACATCGAATACAACTGTGTTTATACATGCATGGGAATTTGTCACAAGATCCCTTGTAATTGAAATTGAAGCATTTATCATTATTGGTTTTGGGTGCATTTGTTACGTTATAAGCGGGCCCAGAATGCATATACATCAACCATAATTCCGAGTCAATTTCACCCCAAGAAGACACAGGATTTTGCTCTTTGCGCAGCCTAAACTGCGTATCATATTCTTTCCAAGATATAGCCTCCCTGCTAACACCCATTCTTACGGTCTGTATGTACTTAAGTAGGTCAAGAGTCTTGGCGGGATGTGAACTCAAGTACACACTTGCAAATATGAGCATAAGGTCAGTCCATTGCTCAATATTTTCTACCTTTTTTGGGTTGGCATCTTTATAAATTATCTCACCCATACTATTCATAACTAATTTCTTTTCATCAGACCCTGATTTTGGTGTTACCAATGTGACCAAATCAATATACTGCCCACTAATAATACGTTGTTTGACTGTGCTAGAAACATTCATACCAATCATATGTATTGATGGGACAGGAGCAGGGTACCAACATCTGTTGGAGTTGAGATTGTTGCTCCAGAGGTGGTCGGTGCAAAGGATGGTCCTGCACTTGTCGTCAACATGGGTTGCGCTTCCCCCACAACGGAAGTTGATGGAGCCTGGGTCGGTGGTATTGGTACATGTACTGGACATCCTGCCGACGCCGTCGACGAGTACGTCTGGGAATTCACAGACACCGTAGCCTGACTACCACTTGGCTGCTGTGTGGCAGTCGCTGCTGGTTGAGCCATTCTACGCTTCTTAGCTCTCGGTGGCATCGTGTTCAGAAAAGAAAAGAAAATTCTTTATTTATATATATATATATATTATTTTTTATATTTGTAAGAAGAAATTTAAATTAATTATCTTCTCATTCTCACATGCTTTATTATTTCTTTTTATAAAGTTAGCCTAATTTTTTATTTATTTATTTATTTATTTATTATTATTATTATTTTATTATTATTATTATTATTATTATTATTTTTATTTATTTATTTATTTATTTATTTATTTTTTTATCTCCCCTTGGTATGGAAATCTGAAACGTGTCGGATCAATTTATAAAACAAAGAAAATTTAATTAAGCCAAAGCAATATGATATAAATCACGATCAAGATAATTGACTTAATAATCATTATATCTTATCACATACTTACATCATATAATCTGTTTTAATGAAAACTTATATAGATACAACGTGGTCGGCTAATACAAAATGGCCACAACAGACGCTAGAAAAAATTATCATTATAAAATCAAGGATCATCGGGAAATCATGAATAAATACTCCTAAATTGATTGCAGCAAACAACTACCAAATAGATAACAAAAACATCCATATGTATTATACCCATTAACTATTTTTCTAAATATCTAAATTTGCAAAAAATTATCCTTTAAAATTTCACCAACCTCATTCATATAGTCTGTGAATGAAAAAGGATTAACGGAAGTTGACTCAGGGGGAATAACTCTAATTGATTATAGGGATTATAGGCGGATCTATGGATTTTGTAATATGGGAAATTAACACTTTCTTCGATAAAAGCCTCCAATTCGAATAGAATTGGATGTGATAAAAAAAGAGATTGAATTAAGATTAATTAGATTTTTCTTCCGTTTCTATTAAAATTTTGATAAACTATTACGACCCACCTTTCCCTAAGGGGGGTTTAAACAAACTTAAATCTACACTACCAGAGATTGCATCCATAAAAATATGACAAACCATGGCTTTGCTATTTTTTAGAGGAATTTTTTTCTGATATATTCATATGTAAAACTTTGATCACCTAGTGTGTCCTCACCCTACCTTCTGCGTCATAGTTTGAACAAATTTGAATCTACTCTATCAAAATGCTTTTATATGAATATGACTAATCATGGTTTTCTTGTCCTCGTGAAGTAAATTTTAAGATTTTTTCCCTATGTATTCCTATGTAAAAACTTGATCCCCCATTGTGGCCACACCCTAATCCCGGATGGGTAGGTCAATATTTGAAAAAAAAAATGAATCTTTCTTATCTAAGCATGCTCCCTTATATTGCAAATCATATTTTTGTTGTTTCAGATATGAAGGAGGGTAGGATAAGACTGACTGTAAAGTATCAAACGATGTAAAGTGTAGTAGCTCTTGCGAACTACCTAGATATGACGTCATAATAGAATATGACGTAGTCACTGCATACTTGAGTTACCATAACGGGGAAAGTGTCATAATTTTTACATTCCTTTCACATGGCATGTGGATTTTCTTTGGAGGTGTTGATTAATTCAAATGTTTTTTTTTAATTTCTAGCGTGCTGTTATGATGTTGAAAAATTAAAATCTAAATATCTATATTCCTTTCACCAGAGAAAATCTACTCTCCAGGTAAATATTTATTATGAACTTTTAATGTGCAACTACTATAAATGAAATCTCAATATATTACGTGTACATTACCTAGGTTAATTGATAGATAAGATATCATGTTTCACCTGTTTCTCAAACATTTAAACCACGTCTTCGCAAAGCACAATGCATAACACATATAATTCTAAACTATATAACGCATGAATTTGAAAGGTATTTTGTTTAGATGCTTTCGTCAGTTTTACTTCTACACCATTCGATACAATGAAAATCAATAAATCGACTTTTTCTTCTTCTTCTTGTTTTTGTTTTTACGTTATGAATAAAAAAAAAAATAAATGCCTAATAAATTACTGCTACATAATGTTGAATTTTTCGGGGTCAAAATTCCGAGAGCGGAGAAATCAAGGAAATGAATAATGCATCTATGTTGCATGTACAGTTGAATTTTGGATTTTATCAATGTTCTCCATAGTGTTACTGTATGTATACATGTACAGTGTACATATATCGATCGCCGCAAAAACAACAAGGATCGATTTCATCCCTGTATTGGAATATACAAGGGGCCGGGCTTACCCCCCCGTTCACACATAGACGCCGTTTCTATTACGATCAAAGCTTGGTCGAAAGCGTGGCCGATCGTAACAAATCGCAAGAGAAACGTCGTGAAGTCGTCATAAGCGTAGTATGATCGCAGTAAGATCTTCATGATCGGAGAGATCTACGCTCTCACCACGCTTATTTTGAACATGTTCAAAACAAGCGTAGCGGGATCGTGGCCAACATAAATCGGGGTTAAGTCGTAAAAGGAGCGTAGTAGAAGCGCCGTAATCGTACAAGCAGCGCGAAAGCATCGTAGAGAGATCTTTGTGATCGAAATAAAAGCGTCGTAAAAGCGTAGGAAATTAACAAGCACGCTCATACAACACTCCCTCTACGTTTGTACTACGTTCTCACTACGATATCTCTACGTTCCTGAAGATCCTACCAAGATCTACAATAACCTTACGCCGATCATATCACGACCTATCAGGCAGAAGTTCTTATAGCATTGATATTTGACCAATCATTATATGTAAACTACATGTAAAGGCCGACACTATACGTGATGATCATCTGCAATTGAGACTTTTCACATCTTGTTAAAGTTACAATAATTTATTGTAAATGCCCGTAATCAATGTGGTAGAGGCCGCAAAAAACTGCGGTCGCATTTCTAAAATCCTACTACAAAAATCTGCGGTTGCAAGATAAATATCCATCATCGCCAAAATCGTACTAGAAGCGTAATGCAATCGTAATATGATCGGCACAACCGTAGCGACATCGCTGTACAGTCATCTAGGTCTGTGTAGCATCGTAGTATGGTCTTCAATGTCGTAGTAGCAGCGTGGCGTAAACGCAGTAAGCACGGCCGCTTGTCGGCAACAGTCTGTGTAACATCGTAGTAGAAGCGTGTTAGCAACGCAATAGACGTAGGGACATCGTAGCACGGTCGTTACGAAGACCATTATTTGCCAAATTGCTCTATTTAGACGCCGATCGACTGCGATCTGCCCCGATCCAAAACTTTTTTAGCTCATGGCTTGATCGGTATGATCGCCGTAGAATCGCAGCTCTGTGTGAACGGGGGGTAACCCCCCGTTCACACAGATTAGTGACAGCGAGATAAAAGCGGTGTTTCATGCATCAGTGAGTAAAGTGGTCCCAGAAAGCGAACGCTTGGTTCGCTCTAGCAGACCCAGAGCTCACCCGAGCGAATGCGGAGAGAACCCGGAGCGCACTCAAAGTGGACCCAGAGCGGTCCCATAATTTCTGATATCGAACCAACAGCGGACCCCGAGCGAACACAGGGTCCGCTTTTGATTATGAAGACAAAACCATAGGAATGGGCGGTGAGAATACATGTGAACCGAACACTGTTTTGAGTATCTTCCAGCAATATTTTATTTTGAATTCTATTTTGGGAAGAAATCTTTGGTTATGCATAGTGACAGTTGTGAAGGTTTATTCCCTTACACTTATAGTTTATGATTTTGTTAAATGTAAGGTTTTTTTTTTAGAAACTACACATATATCAACTTGTCATACTTGTTTTGGCGAGCTATGGATTTACTCAAACTCAAAATGCTTTTTGGGAAACTTAAAATGTCTGTGCGATGCAGTCTTTTTGCAATTCAAAAGAAATTTGGACTTTAAATTTTCTTAGTTAAAAATGAATATTTTTTTTACAGTCTAGGTGGATGGAGTGAATCCTGACATATTTTTTTAAATTTATTCTAGAGCAGGGTGTGACACAACATATGTTATCAAAGAAGTGGTTTGAAAATGTTCTCATGGTAATTTAACTGTAATGATAAAGGACAGAACTAATATTTATTACATGTACAACTTGAAGTAGTCCTATGAAAATCACATCAAGCCAATAGGTGAAAATTTCCATAATTTCCTATTTGATACATTTACTAGAACCCAATATATTTCTTTGTTTTTAAGGATTTGTATTACATGGTAATTCGTATTTAATTTGCTTTCTTGGAATAATGAAAATGTTCAAAATCGACAAATGATGCACATACGCGCCATTGAGGGGAACACAAATGTAAAAATGACCGGTTCAAAAACCTAAATTCCACAATTGTCTTCTTTCAGTATTTGAGTGAATGTAATGATTATTATAGTCTACAGTATCAATACCGGTTAATGTAGTAAGTAATTAAGGTGGCGATTTAACAGGTGCAGGACGAATAACCCTAAGTTAACGTGACTTCACGGTTGGTTGGATACCATTCCAGACCCTGTCTGACAACGGGTAACCCGTTCTGTTGGGAAAAAATATTCGAAAAACTGCTCAGTAACCCCGTGTTCCCCTTGTCCTTACTTAAAGCTGAACACTTCTCGTAAATAGGCATAGTCCGCCATATTTCCCGTTCTTCAACGCTCTCCCTACAACTCGTATATAAGGAGCAGATTGCTAGTCAGTTCAATGTATTTCACTGTAGAGATCCGACGAGTGTAGACGTACATCTTACAAAGCGTGCTACTCAATATCGATGAAATTATCAAATTTAACGCATTTTTTCCGAAACAGGACAAAAGTATCATGAAAAATGCAGGTCAATACATTATTTACAAACAGAAAATGCACATTAAAACAAGAAATAAACGCAAAAAATCTAACACCTCGATAGGAGTACTACATGTCGGCCACGAGTTTCGAGTGTGCAATCGGGTGTAACGAAAGCGAACGGTTTATATACCCGGCTGACAGTGCCTATTTATGAGAAGTGTTCAGCTTTAAGTAATTCGAAAACTAGACCCCATGCAACTTCTGTAAACTGTACCAAAATTGCAAAATTCATACCGACTGTAAATATTGAAAAAAACATTGTGTATACTTTATGTGCATAAAATAGTACAAGATTTGTCGTCATCAATTTGCACGTGTTTTGGGCTTTTAAGAGTTTTCCCTGCGTGCCCTCATACTTTTTTTTATGGTTGAGTAATTCTGAATACTGAAGTAAGTGCATAGTCAATGGCATTCTTATCAAACCAATTTTCGTAATTTTCGATCAAGCGTTCCAAAACATTTCGAATATTATCTTACCCTGCTATTATTTTTTCCTTTAAGTATATTAAAAAGAATACTTACCCTGTATAGTTTTTGGCCATGTTGAAGGCAGGAACCGACCCTTTGCTGAATGTATTAAATCGGTCCACAACCCATCAGTAACCTGCTTCTCAACACTCTATAAAGCATAGATTAAACCCGTATGAAGAATAATTTTATAATGTTTTAGCACACGGATAATATAATTATTTCAAAAACTGTTAGCCATCAATATAATTGCAATACCGTAGTATTGCTAAAAACTAATAAAATGGTTAAGTTCATCAGTATATATATATATATATATATATATATATATATATATAGTTTTGTGCCATGCGGATTGTGGGTTATTTTGCGTCTTTTTCACTCACGTTGTGGGTACCATGGATGGTTTATGGGTCATTATATATTGACCCACAAACCACGTGCCTAAAATTTTGTTTATGACAATAAAATAGTAACTATATTCATTTTTTACAAAAAAAAAATTTTTGACCCATAATTACACAATCAAAAAATGACCCACAATGCAATTTTATATATATGATATCTTACCGTTGAGTGCATTGGCAGGATTTCGCGCGTGACCCACAATATTTTATATACTTTCCCATGAGTATTGGAGGGATAAGGGAAAATGGCTAGATTTTATAGCCTAATTGCAGTAAATCATTGTTAAATTTTAACGATTTTTTTTATTTATAGGTATTAGGTTTTGTTTTTAATGTACTTCATTGTATAAATCTACAAGAAAAAAAGGCTGATTTATTTTAAACTTTCTGTCGTTCGAAAGTTGTGTTCTTCCATAAGTTTATATATCTAAATATGAATTCTTATAAAAATGTGAAAGAAAGCTTCAATTAACAAATTTTTTAAAGAAAAAAAAAATGAGTAAAATGTTGCCATAAAGATCGCGCGTTAAGAAGTGAATCGCGATGTATCAATAATTAAAAATATACGTTAGGTTGAAATCTCGGAAAATCATTTACAACTTTAGGTTTATTCAGAAAAAAATATCACACATTAAGAATTAAGGGAAGTGTAATCAAATCAACAATTCTTGAACATTTTATAGATGGAAAAGTATACTCACTAGTCAGTATGGTGTTCTATATTATTCAATGTATTGACCCAGAATAACGTATACTTGTCTGTATTTGGATCCCACAATTTCTATATCTTTGGGGAGGTCATTATTACCGCTACATTGCAAAAATTTCAATTCATTTAAAAATTAAATTTCTGGTGATCACTACCGCTATATTTTATCAGTAAGACCGATTGCCGATTAAAACTCATTATGTTACATATAGAATCAACCAGCATTTGAACAGAATTATACTAAGTTGTATACTGACCCACAACTCGCTTCTGTACATTGATCCCGCAACATTATATATATACCTATTATTAATGACCTTCAATTATATCAAACATACATATATAAATCTAAAATAATATAACTTAATTTAAAAAATACATCATTTATGACAGAAAATGTCTTTTACAAAATAAAAGTTGGATTAAGTAATATATGCTAGCTTTTACGTGAAAAGAGTAAAAACACATTCTGCTGCATCTGACCAAATATTTTTTTATAAGACATAAACACATCGGTTCTTGATCATGCACATAAATAAGAAAAAAAATGTCGTTTGGTTTATGCTTAGACAGATATACGTTGCTTAAATTTTAGTGAATGGGGCTTGGTTCTAGGATTGTGGTTTTTTTTATTGTATGAAAAGATAAACATAAAAGAGGGATTGAGAATTGTGGCTTACCTTTTTCTTTGTTTACCCCCCCCCCCCCACCACCACCAATTTTAATTTGCTTCCGACGCAAAGATGCTAATGATTTTATTCACTGTATACACTTTTCCTACCGGAGTCGGTGAGATTTAATTTTCGAAATGATTGGATAATTCTCATTCATGACCTGCCTATTGTCGAAATATAAGCTTTATAAAACACATAGTAAATCAAATCGTCCTGGATGTACCCTGCACTGAAATGGAAAGCAATGGAAGCAAAAATGCCTCAATAAAATTGAAGAGGACTCCGGAAAGAATAAAATCTACGCCAAACCTGTTCTTTTTTTTTCTTTTCTACAATTTCGGAACACCTTTTTTCCGCCAATGTGGTGATTTTTAAATATTTTATAATGTGTACATATAGACAGACAAAGAGAGACATAAATATCATATGTGACGCAGTGGTAAAAACGTCTGCTCTACAGTAGCGAAGTAAAGAGTTGATGATTATGTCAATATCAGGAAAAATTATGACTTTGTAGTATATTGACGAATCCGGGTCATTTCTCCCCAGTACCTGCTCCGCCTAGGTCATTTCCGCCCAGTTCATCTCTCTCCTGGGTCATTTCCCTCCATTACCCAGGTCATTTCTCTCCACAACCTAGGTCATTTCACTCCAGCACAAAAATTATAGTGTAAAAAGTTTAATTTTATACAGATTTGTTTATTACCACGCTGAATTTAACGCTAGCTTTATTTATTTTATTTCATTTTATTTAATTATTTATTAATTCACACATGTATTTTTTTTAATTTATTTATGACTTCACACATTTATTGTTTATTTTATTCATAATTTAAACATTTATGCATTCACTCATTTATTTGAGTAATTATGTTTTTTTTTAATTCTTTTATAATTTAATTCATTCCTTTATTTATTAATTTTTTGTATTGCATGTAATTAATCAATTTATACAATTTTGAACTCGTTTTTCAAAAGGACAGAGGCACATGATTATTTATTTTTATTCATTAATTCTATAGCTTAAACTTACTGTCTTTCTTTCTAATGGAATTAGCTGCAGAACTGTAGCTCTCTGAAAAATATGAATTGGCAGTACGGTCTGTCAAAAAAAAAGTTCTGCGATAATACAAATATTTTATATTATTCTTCTTTCTTTAACAATTAAATCCATTATCAATTAGACCTCAAGTGAATTTGTTTATTGTCCTGTCATCTGTGGTTTATGGTCTTCATCAGGAATAAATAAATAAATATTAGAATTTGTAATTGCTGTCTTGCGGTTTTATGGTACCCTACAAGGTGTTTTTTAATCATCATGCTGGGTGCATATGTTTATCCTTAAATTGTCGATTTTACAGATTGACAACTCAATATCTCCTTTAGTCTTTAGACAAAAAAATGTCAACTAGTACAAAGTTGTGTTCAGCCAATTTATTATATAAATAAGAATTTGTTCCCACTTTTTATTATATTGAATACAAACTCATTTACAAGTACTGTAATACTTCCTAGCGATCACAATTTTTAGGCAAAATGACTAATCTTAAATGTATGCAAATCAAGTAAATTTTAACTTTTTAGATTTCATTTTCCCCCCAAATTACATGTTTTCTCTGTGCAACAGTGGAAGCCCCCCCCCCCCCCGAACATTAACATGTTTATTATAATAACGTAAAATTAATGTACTGATGTATGGATTTTTAATTTAAAATGTTCCGATTCTTAATTGTAAGCTTGTAAGCATTTTTCTGCATTATTTTCTCTTGCGTAAATATGTATGTGCATACATGTAAAAGACCCCATGAATGTCTCCTTGATAATTAAAAAAAGGGAAGTATTGAACAGTCGAAAGATCATTCTAGCTAACATGAGATGAGTCATATGTCTTTGCCCTTTCAAAAAGCTAGTTCAAGTTTGTGTTATAGTTGGAATATTTTTGTTTGTACTTAAATTTGTAATCTCTGGTATAACAATAGAAACTGAACGCCATGGATAAAATAAGTATAAAAATGAGATGATTTTTTTTAATTGAATCCAAGAATATGTAAACTTTTAGAGACAGTAAATTATTTGACATATACTGAGAGTATCAAGTTTACAAGTCATGAATAACATTTTAAAGAGTCCTGATAATGTATTCTCTATTTCATAAAATATTATGGTAAGCACAGCAGATTACATTATATTAAAAAGGGAGGTGGGTTTAAATAATTTTTCTTACACTGGATTCATACATGTAAGAATTGTTTTAATGGTGTAATATACTAGTACTTTAAACATATTAAAATTTACTAGCCATTTCCGGCGAAGTTGTGAAGGTGTCTATTGCCACACCGAATTAGTTCCTTTTCGAAATCTTATACTAGTAATTCATTTTTAAGAGATATTTTTTCAATTGTTACATTCCCATTAATTCATGTGGTTTGGCTACTCTGTTAATCTTGTTTACCTTGAAAATATTGCATTTTAGGTTTTTTCATATTAATAGCATTTTTACGTCATTATTTTCTTCGCGTTCTTTTTATTTATAGTTTTATAATATACAATTTATTATTCAAAATAAATATTGGCAAATATATATACATACTTTTTCTTGTGTATCTGGTTTCATAATATATATTTTGAAGTTTCCTTTGTTTTCTAATAATTATCTATTTTCAGTTGTAAAACTGTAGTTTTCCAAAAAGAAAATGTATTGAACCGGTCTGTCATGTCTATTTTCTCCCTTTTTTTCCTAAGATCAAAATTGACATATTATAATTTAAAACTGTTTTATTTTTTATTCCAACGTATTTGAATCGCCAAACAAAATCAATCAATAAAAGCAAAATTTTTGTATTACTTAGTATTTTTTAAGATTCGAGTTTGATCAGTATCTATATAATATTCAGATCATAGACAAAACTTTATCATCGGCTATGGTAAAAATTAATTATTTTAACAAATTAATTTATTCTAATTGAGTTAAAATTTTTCTTTCAAAATTATTAGGATGCATCCACGTAGCAAGGGCTGGACAATGATATCAATTTATTTTCATTAATATCAAATATTAAACTTTTCCCTGTAAATAAAATTCCGACACATTCTCTCGTTCGAATTGGTCTTAAAATTGGTTTTATTGGTCATAAATTGTTAAAATTAATTTATTTTATGAAGCATAAGTTAATAAACCAAGAATGGAAATGTAGATAATTATATAAGCCCAGATTAAAAATGGGGTGAAATGACCCAGGTAGGAGAGAGAAATGACCTACCGTGAAATGACCTACCGTGAAATGGTAGGAGAGAGAAATAACCTGGGAGAGAAATTTTTTTAGAGAGAAATGACCTGACACCATATACCATATTGACGAAA